TTACCATGTATGTAGGCGAAGAGCTATCCCCAGTTGCAGAAGAAGTTGGTGAGGAAGAGTGGGATGAAGAAGAAGATGAATCAGATTTGGCAGAAGTAAATGGACCTGAATGCCTGTATGATGCAGCATTTGCCGTAAAGGAATTGGCTTCAAGAATGTCAAATCCTACAGCTATGTCATTTCACCACTTGAAGAAGTTCTTAGGATACTTGAAGACTATGGACTATTGTCTAGTACTTGAACTTCCACTATGTCAAGAAAGGAGAAGGCTATTGGTGCTTGGAGACATTCTCAGATTCAGACTGGGGCGGAAACAAAACCCATAGAAAGTCAACATCAGGAGGGTTTCATGCATTGGAATAGTTGTCCAGTGCTCAACAGTAGCAGGACACAGAAGATCATTAGCTTATCTTCGTGTGAGGTGGAACCACGTGCTATAGTTTCCTCAGCAGCAGATGGAATCTACATTCGCACAGTTCTGGAATTTGCTCTGGGGACAAAGTTGGGCCATTACATCTCAGATTCTTCAAGCGGGCGCCAACTTGTGATGAAGAGAGGAGTTGCAAAAGTGAGATACTTGGATGGAAAGTTGCTATGAAATCAGAGCAGGAAAGATTTCAAGATGGTACAAGTACCAACAGCAACGTGGCAGATACCAATACAAAGCCACTTGGAGGACAAAGAATCAGATACTTGATGAACCTCACTGGTGATTGGCACAGTGAAGGTCAGATCAGAGTAGGAGAGTATGAGACAAGGGTGTTTGAAGGGAAAAAGAATTTTGCAGGAAAGGTCAACAAGATTGCCAAGATGCTTGTGAGAATGGTAGCGTCGGAGGGCCTGCAGCCAATGGTTACAGAAGCATTCCTGAAAGGAGACAACATCCAGTGTGTATTGGACGCAGTGAAGAAACCCAATGAAGAACTGCAATTCTGGATTGTCATGATCACTGTGTTCAACATGATTGGTTTTGCAACAGTGATCTGTCATCTGTGTACTCTTCAAGATCTACGAACACTTTGAGAGCCTACCGGCCAAGGAAGCCCATACAAATCGCTTTATGGCAGAGTACTATGACCTGTAGTCAGGAGGATTGAGAAGCGAATTGATGAAGTTGAAGAAAGGCTTGGAATTTGGAGAGAGGAAGAACTCGAAGACAAGTTAGACACTCTCCAAGACTATGTCAGGAGAATTCACAGTGGATGGATTCTGAATGGAGGCTTTGTAGAGCGAGAGAGGGAGAACCACCAACGACACAAGCTATCCTCAGCTATCACATCTTGAGTGAGACCAATGCAGGAAACTACTTAGCCAGAACGAGTTTGGACGCTATGCAAGCTACAGAAGGATGGTATGAAGGAAAGAGAGTAATGCTCAAGGCAGCCAATGAAGCAGCAAATCCATCAGAAGGACCATTGAACAGAACATTCAGAAGAGGAAATAGCGAAGCATCAATGAGATCAGAGTATATAAGGGCGCAGGCAATGCAGATGCGTGGTTGACTCGAATGCAGAAGGGACAACCCAGATGTTGATCCATCAGAAGTACATGTCAGGAATCAGGACCCCAGTTCCTGGATGAAACGAACAAGCCTGCAGAGAGAGAGACAGGAATTGAATGGAGAAAATGGATTTTGCTGGCAAAGTGAGCTCAAAGAAGCATCAGGGAGCGAACCATTTTCCATGCAGATCACAGTCTAGTTGTATAGCATTTCTAGCATCACAGAACGGTGCGTAACATTTCAGAAGCGATATTTTTTACGCAAGAAGTTATGAAAACATATTTTTCATTTGCTACCCCTTTTACAACTAAGTTAATGTATTTGGATAGTGACGATAGTGATGGCGAGGTTTTGAGCAACACCGCCCCACTGCGACCCACTGCGTGTTAGTTGGAGGTCCAGTTCCATTTCGCATTCCGTTTTTGCGTTTCGGCCGTTCTTTTGCTTCAAGCCTGTCACCGTTTGCTCTGCCATGGCCGCCGTTGCCTCGCCGGCTTTTGTTTCTGGACCCGGCCTGGCCACGCCTGTGGCACGTCCGTGCCAAGGTCCTCAGGCTGCGCCGTGGCAAGGAGTCAAGTTTGTTTGCCTTATGGCCGTGGGTAAAAATGCGGGTACCCTGGTTGACCGCAGGGTGAAACGGGCTCCCGCTTTTGACCCGCAGCCATATTGGACTATTGCCTAATTATCAGGATTAACGATTCTTAAAACAATCATTCTTGAGACGTAGCAAGAAACTTTTATTTATTTGTTACAGGCAACAGACAATGTCGTCACATTTTTTGAGGTATTGCTACCCTGCCTTGGGGGGAATGCTGCGGAAAGTTGTCTATTTTTCCAAGCGCAAACTAACTCTGTTGGTTGGAAAGGGACCTACTTTTAGGTTGTATGCTGGGGCTCTCATCGAAAGGTGTTTTAACGCTGTTCTGGCAACTCATAAGGGGTTAATAATGCCTGCTGAAGCAGTGATTATTTTTTCTGTAGTGGGCCCCGGAAACAGTTCACAAGGAATTTTCCACATGCGAGACAAGTACAGGAAGCAACACAGTCATTTCCAGGCTTGCCAGTGCAGTTCGCTATGGAGTACCTGCGGACTTGGACAGATTACGGCAAGATAGCGAGAGCTACTGGGAGAGCTAGTGGGGTTCTTCTTTCCAGTATGGGAAAGGGTGTTGCTGCCAGATGTTTGTGGTAGTGCCGCTTTTCTGCCACTGTCTAGGCTTGGCATAGTTTTTGGTGTGGGGTGTGCAGTTTTGGACCTTGCCTGGATCTCGCCCGGGTCTCGCCCAAGCCACCATCCTCCTGCTGCTGCTGTTCGTGTGGTGCTGCTGGTGTTCTGCTGCTTGTGTGCTGCTGCCACTGCTTGGCTGCTTCCACACTGTAATTGGATCTTTTGATGAAAAGCTAAAACTTTCTTTCTGCCAATAGCAAATCTGTAAACGCCTTGTATGCAGGAATTTGATGTGACCCTGATGTGACCCGGTCGCGTCGGGCCACTACTTGCGGATTAGCTGTTTTTGAGTTGGCGGCAGACCTTCAACCCCACCCTGCGCCACTCAGAATTTAGGAGTGATCTGGCTTATCGATATTGCAACCTGTGGTCTATTGCTGGCTGCTGCTGCTTGTTGCTGCTTGCTCCTCTCTCGACTTTTTAAGACCTCGTTCTTGAGCGGCAATTTTTGTTGAATGCGACTCAGGTGCCAAATCGATGCTCCAAATTTGGTGAGATTGGGAGCTTGTCTGTTTTGGCAGTCGCGTGCGGAGCTGCCACGAGGACCCGTGGGTTTGGACGAGCAAAACGCCGAGCTCGAACTTGCTTTGGCTCACATTTGGCGCGTTCTCATGGCCCAACGGACTGTTCGATCAGGTATCGAATGCGAAGAGTGAGGCTAAAAAACCTGGGGTGCATGGGTGAGAGAAACCATTAGGAGCAAGGGCATCGTTACTAGGAGCAAGGACGCTACTAGGGGTTCCTGGCCTTACTACTAGTGACAAGAAGCTAGTATAAGCTAGTAGGAACAAAGGGCATCGCTACTAGTGCAGGACTCAACGCCGACCCCACGACCGCCTTGCCGTGTCTTCGCAGCTGGTGCAATTGCACGCAACTGCCACAGCAGAGAAGCAAGGCGACCTTGGAAACTGAACACGCACTTCCTGCAAGAAATTGCAGAATGATTTGTCATGTACGATTGTCGCTGGCAGAATTCGATGCGGAAACCTGCTTGAGACGTGAGGCTTGCTGGACGCAGAGGAAAGAGCGAAGAAAATTAAGTTCAACCGGCTGCGGAAGTATGAACTGCAGGATGGGAGGGCCTCACTAAGCTCGATCCTTTTCAGATAGGCTTGGTGAGCATCCTGGTATGTTTCCAAGTCACAGCAATGTCCTGTCATTGTTCGATAACGATTCATTGGCAATCATTTATTCCCACCGAGCCACAAAGGAGCTGGAAGCGGTCTACATCGAGTCAGTTTTCTATTTCTACAGCCCCTCGGGACACATGGCCGGGCCGCGACGATGGGACTAAGGACCTTAAGGACTGGATGGCACTGACAGCGGGCTGTCGGACAGCATTCTGCAGATGTAGAAGAGGTGGGGTGAGAACCCATCATCTGTCCAACTTTCAGGTCTCAATTTGGCAAAGTGGGACTCGGAGGAATAGGTCATAGTTACATAGTTGCCACAGTGACAGTGACCACACAAGTAGGCAAGGTGGGGCACAACTTGTCACGAAAGCTAGTTTCAGCTAGCTGGAGTTGCTTTAGCAAGCTATTCGCTGCGGCTGGGGGATGGAATCGCCTACCCAGTGAATTATCCACTGCTAGACCCTCCGCGGGCTCAACTCCCCTTTTGGACGTGTCAGATTTGGTAGCAGCTATAGTCCTGATAGCGTCCGTTCTGAGACCATTGGACCATTATGTTTCACATCATGCCGCGCATTCCCCATCCGTTTTGAGGCCATGTTATTAGATGCAGCTAGCTTTCGTCACCAACCCCGGCTCAAGTAATTTTTCGCAACGTGGGACACCCAATGATATATATATATAGTTTTTTCCCACGATTCTCAGCACAAAGTGGTGGTCTCAAACCTGCCCGGCCCGAGGTGATCCGAAGAATCTCCTTTGCAATGGCAGGTTTCAGCGTTCGTGATGTTGCTGTGAGTTCGATGAAGGGCTCTCGCAGCTCCAAGACTCAAGGTGAACTTGATTGAAAAAGGCTGTTTGATGTGCTAGGTGATATATGCTGTCTCTTAAAGGCAGCAGACGGCCTTTGATTCGGGATAGCCAATGGTGACTGACTAGGAAAGAAATCATCTCCAAAGACGATTATGACAAGCTGGTGGCTTACCTGGACAAGCAAAAGTCAAAGGTGCGAAAGCTGAGACCAGAAGAAGTCAGGTGGGGACCGTTGTTTCTTTTCGGGCATCATCCTACTTGATTTCATTTTGATCAAGCTGGCAGGTTCATAGAAGCAAGCATCGCTTACTATAGAGGCAAGCCTGTGATGTCAGATGAAGAGTACAAAGGCTTACGCTGCTGGGCCGATGCTGGTGGGTCACCTCCCAACTTTTTCGCCGCATTGGATTCTGCCCAACTTTTGTTATGTACCTCTTGGGACCCTGGAAACCACAGGCAGAAGCAGCTTTGTATCCAGTTCATGGGAGTTCCTTTATGGTGACGCAGTGAAACTTACAATGTGGGTTGTAAAAATCAGCAGGTCTTGATGTTCTTAAAGAGGACTTACACCATCGACCTGCATTTTATTTAGAACATCGACCGAGTTGTGCTTAGCTTAGAACATTAAACTTAGAACATTGGTAAAACGTTATTCAATCACCTGCAGAACATTTAACATAGAACATGCACCATGACCATACAAACCTGAAAAACATATTATATATAATATATATATATCTATCACTAGGAAATCAATAGGAAATTGTATAAAAGGAAATCGATAGGAATCAGAATCAAACGAAGTTAAAAGAAACTCAATAATAGGAGCCAAAATAATTCAATTTTCAAAAGGAGCTTAAAAGTAAATCAATAGGAATCAAGAGGAATCCAAAGGGACATCAATAGGAATTAAAAGGAATTTAACAGGAACTCAATAGGCATCAATAGGAATTGACTTCCTGGCATCCAGCGGATGTTCTAAGTTATGTATGCTGCATGAGGCGTTGGGGGGAACATGTACTTAGAACATCACAACATATCACAGTCATCCACTTAGACAATCTGGGAAAATTTGGCAGTGACGTTCTAAGAGGATGTTCTAAAATTACTAGTCCTCGATCGGCGGGTGTTCTAATGTAATGGTTTTGCTATGGTTTGCTACTGTTTTTGAATAGGGGGTGTTCTTTCAAGTTGAACATGCCGTTCTAAGTTTCACTGCGTCACGATACATAGATAAAAACATCCAAATGCAGGACATTGCCTGAGACATAAAGCAGATCCTTTGAGAGTCTCAGGGCTTTCCAAGGGCATTTCTTTTAACTTCTCCGTTGGTGGACAAGTCTTCCTGTCAAAGCTAAGGATCAAAAGTATCGAGGTCAGGGCGGCGAAAGGATATGACTGCTTTGCTGTTGACAGAACGCAGCAAGCAATTCCTCAATGACGAGGAAATGACAAAGTTCCAAGAAGCCTTCAAGAACGCCAGGCGGACCGGAGACATCGGCAGATTTGAAATGCTTTTAATGTTAGTCGGCCCATGTGGTCTTGGGGCAGAAATCTCACAAGACTAACATGGGGTAGGATGGAGGAAGTGGCTGGACCCTAGCAATTCCTTTGCCAGAAGAGCTCCAAGCAAGAGTCTGGTTTTGAAAGTAATTACTGTAAGCTTATGGTTTTTTCCTGCCGCCAGGGAATATGACTTTTCCAAGCTGGTCTCTTGGTGGATCCCAGCATATTTGTCGTTTCCGAACTCGCGAGTGTATTTACCTCAGCACAACATGATCGCCGGTCGCGGCAATGGTCAAAGAAACTTGGATTGTCAGCTCTTGCACCAGTCCAGACTCAAGGAATCATATGCTGTCGGCGATTTGGAAGAGCTTTACATTGATGCGTTGTGGTGCAGCTTGGCCAAAGATAACCGCCAGCTGGCCACTATTGGCCACTGCCTCTTCGGGTGGATTTCCAACCAAGGCGACAATGACATTGCTGTAGGTAGATCATCTCAAAGAAAAAAACTCACCCCGGACCCACGGTTGCTTGAAACTTTGTCTAAAAGTGGCTGTCGACTGTGAAGTGGCAGGATGTGGCAAGTTTCTAAAACATTTTTGCGTCCGATGGCACACTACAGAGATGAGAATTGTCCTGCACACGGTTCCATTTTGACTCCAAATCTGACAACATTCCAAAGGCTTCCACAGGGAAAAGCGTGCCCTTCTGAGTGATGATGAATTTGACGAGCTCAAGAAAGTCTTGTACAAGAAGCTGGGAGAAAGTTGTGCTTGTGGTTGGCATGAGCTGGTAAAGTACTAGATTTCTTTACCGTTGAGTTTTCAGCACATGCTCCTGAAGAGTTGGCCACAGGCAGATGATGTTGCTCAGTCTTGTTGTGCTGTGTGTCTCCTTGTCATCCTAGCAAGATGTTTGGTTCCTAGCAGCTGGTATTCATCTCAGATTTGGGAGCTCACTCTGATTCGCACCAGACATGCAATGACAGAGATGTGAAGAAGGATTCGCACCTGGCTTAGGATGGGATCCCGCTTTCCAACCTTGAAGAGGCAGTGTGAGCACGTCAGTGTGGTAGGAGCAAGGAAGGTTCAGGGGTGTACCGAATCCGATGTACAATATAATATACATGTGCATCCCATGGGTTGTCATTAATGAACATTATTATATAACTATTATTTGTACCGAAATTTGCTGGCTGCGCTGCCCTATACAGTGAAACCTCTGGATGACACGCAACCTCTGGCACACTTACTCAACCCTCTTTGGACGAAATATGTTATATATGTGTGTTCGTCTACATGAGATCTTTCATGTTGGATCCCTTTGACAGGAACGAAGTTGCCTTCGTGGAGGCATCCATCGCATGGTATCGTGGTGAACCTTTGATCTCCGAGGACCATAGAGCGAGTGGATCCGTTTTCTAGATGCCATGAAGCTTGAACCTTTCATGGTACAGTAACTTTGCAGTTGAATGAGCACACTGAGCAGCTGTGGGTATATACGGGTGCTCTATGCATTTGTTTTGATGGTATCACGGTATCACTATGCAAACAATACGGCAAGACATCCTTGTTAGCATACAGCACCATAGACATAATCTGGTGTTTTTCTTGATTTGTCGACATCCCTTCCCACGAAAGAATCGACTCGTCTATACTCGTCTTGAATTAGGCCCCGCCCCAAAACAATTCCAAGGGAGTTTGGTCTAGGAATTTTAATGGCTATCAAACACCAGAGATGTGTTTTGTTGTTTTTGTGCTGATTGGATTTTAATAAAAGGACAACCACAAGAAATGAATAGAAATGAACATAATGTCCTTTTGTTGAATTGGTCGGAAAGGGCAACAAAAAGAAACACAAAAAGAACTCAATAGAACTACTTCTGTTGAGTTAAATTTGGAAAGGAATGCACAAGGGACCGAACAAGGATTTCAATTTGTAGAATTGTTTTTTTGTAAGGAAGCTGATGGAAACCCTTTCCTGCTAAAGAAAGAGCAGAGGAAAAATTGGAATGCAAAGGGAAATCCAAAGAGTGATTAAGTGAACCCAAATAGATCAATTCCAGGGCACCCGTGGACTATTAGCTTGAAATAGCAATTTAATTTGATGCATGATGCATATACATATATAATTTCATCGTTTAAGAATATTTACTAGAAAAAAGGAATCAGCTCAGTCCCAGGACCAAAGACGATGGACTAGCGGAAAGAAGCAAGAATGAGCAATAGAAAACCCATAGATTAGAATCGGACATCAGATGAAGGCCCGGCAGAATGAATTCGCCCTGGGGACGCACAGTTTTGACCACAACAATTCTAGGGTCTGATGGGTCTGGAATACTTGTGCGAAACATTTGTGCATTCCATACTCAAGTGCCAGGATTCTTGTGATTCAAGATGTTCAAACGACGCCCGTAGAGCCTCTTTGGAGCAAAGCCAGGAAGACTTTCAGCAGCTAAAGACGGAGATCACCGCATCTGGGAGACGCAAGGATGTCACAGTGCCAAGGCTGCGGTCCAGCCTGCCAGATGATGTCACAGGGTAACGGGGTGGACGATGGCGGACGTTGGACCATTTGCAACGGACATACCTCTTTGGGACGGGACAAGTAGTGAGTTTCCCTCAGCCTTGTGTCGGCAGTGAATTTGAGTAAGGCATTTTTGCTCTATGAGCGTGGGGAGCAGTTCCTCAATGCCGAGCAGTATGCTGCAATGAAGGAAGAATATGACTTGCTGGGTATCAGTGTCTCGGTCCACCACGCCGCACTGGAACCGAGTTGCACCCTTCTGAGTCTTGAAGCTCATGGTTCAAGAGTCGATAAAGCAAAATCACATGTGATGAATTTTGCCGTCCAAAACTGTGTTCCACCAGAGAAGACCACAAACACCATGTTCATGACGATGGCACTTTTCGGAGATTGTTTCAAAAAAGTTTCCTGCCAAAGGCCGGTATACAACGTACGTTTCATTGTGCTAATTGATGTTGGATCCTGATTAAGGAAAAGGATCTCGCGCCCTCAGCTCAACAAAGGGGGGACCCTCTATAATAAACTACCACCAAAACAAATCTGGTTTCCTGGGAGGACTCCTGTTTCAATTGCTTGTTGTATTCATTTTCCTTTCAATTCATAGATTATTTATGGATATTCATTTTCCTTTCTCAGGTTCTTGAGGATGCACAATTGAGGGCCCTTAAAACAAATTTATTATTGAGGATCATGGGCTTTTCCTGGTCTACTACCTCGAACATTTGTTCAGGAGCAATGTTTTATAAAGGATTGATTAAGGAATTGATGACCTTGGGAAGCCGTCAGTCTTGAAGGAGAATTAGATAAACCTACAAATACCAATGCTCTCAGCAAGCCAGTCATTGGCTTAGTCGTATTCGCAGGGCTTCGAAAGATTTTAACCCCAAATTGTTTTCACAAATTAGGGTCCAAACATTATTAAGCATAATAGAGGGCCTTTAAGACAAAAAACCAACATGGTGTCCAGGGTGATTTTTGGAAAATGTAGAATTATAGACTTAGAGGACCCTATTACTAACCAGGATTCAACATTCTTCTCAGTGACTGACATGTCCTCATGCATGTGTTTCTTTGGGGTTGACGGTTGCTTTTCTGACCAAATCAACGCGAGCAGGACTGCGTGTGGGAGTCAACAGTTTTATGTAATGCTTCATTTGAGAAAACAGTATGCAGTATTTGTTGTGTAGAAGGGTGCCCGGCCTCTACAACGCAGTGAATGGATAAGTTGCATGAAGCAGGGGTGTCAACCAAGCATGATTTCGGCTTATAAAGAGAAAACACTTTGAAAAGACGGATTGACATTCTGCAAAGGATGACATCCTTCTCAAAAAGAAAAACTTGACAGGGGATGAGGGTTGAACAATCAGAAACTTAAACCACAATCCTTTAACTGAGGATGGGCCAAAACAAAGCGAGCTACTGTTTTTTCTATTACCATTGTATTTTTTGGCAACGGCGCGCTTATCTAAATAGGATGATCGATTTCATAAGCGAGAGGCCTAGTGCAAAGATGAGGTGAAATAGCACCCTTACAAAGGACACCACTGTCATAAAGGACGAGGCATTCACAGAAGAATTGTAATTTTCAAGGAGGACTCCTTTTCAATGCAAACACGTCTCAGGGGAAGGATTTCGGGGAAGGAATAGGCTGGGCAAAGAAAGATCTATGAATGATGACACTTGTCGATTGTAAAGGAGGATGCTTGTCTAAGCCTAAGCGAAATATTTGCGCAACACAGGAGGCTTTAGCATAAAACAGAAGCCGTGTAGGATGGGGAGGCTTGACCAAGGGTGGCAAAGGTTTTTTTTTAATACACGGGACGGCTTTTGCATTGAAACTGCTTTCGCAGGAATACAACTCCAGCTATATTCAGTTAGTTTTCGGGGTCCACCGATTGGACGACAGGCAAGAACCCAAAAATAGAATCGCCCCCCCCGCCAGCCCAAGGTATTTCAGATGTGGGGCATGGTTTTGTTTTGGGTGGAGAGGTTCGGTCCTGACATGTATGTGTCCTGTGATTCTTGTAAGCATTTTGTAGCAGGGAGTCTGACTATCCTTTTTCTATCCCTGAACTGATGTGCTGATGTACCTCGTTGGATTTGACCACCCGAGATATCCGAGCCGACCTACTTCTTTTCAACAACCTTTTGCTGTTTATAATAATGACTTAATGAATCTTAATTATATTTAATGTATCCAGTGTATACTTGTTCAACTGCTTCGTTTTGAACAAGTGAGACATCATGTTTGGCAAAATCCAATCTCAGTGCTGCAATACCTGAGATTTGGGCTTTTGCTTTGAAACTCCTTTAGCTGGTGATGGAATCGTGTAATTACATACTTAGGGCCTGGGGCATCTTGGGGCAATCTTGATGTTGAATATGTGTGCTGCATTGCGCCATACAAAAGCTCATTCTGGGCACTTCTGAGATGGCACAGCCCCCCGAATTGACCATTCACCACCCAAATCTGCAAAGATTGCAACACCTGTTGAATCCGCTAGTTTTTTTCATGGCCGAAGGTGCTGTCAACCTGGAGGAGTGCACGCTGGCCCAGATGGAAGAGATGTATGTGGATGTGCCTGGCTGTTGTGTAGGAGTTTTTTTTTGACGAGAAATGTTCTCACAGCATACTTGCAAAAGACGACGTGTGGTGGCCCGGCCCAGGCACTGTGGGCATACTACAATGATGGCACGCAACTGCTTAGCGACGAGCAGTTCAGCAAATTGAAAGAGGACAGAGGGTTTGCAGCTGATTCTGCTTCATGAGGTCAGCTGGTCAGTGTTGTCTAGTTTGTTTGGTTGTCCACTATAGCCTATAACAACATCACAAGACGTAGAAGACTTCCCTTTGGCACCCGACGCGAGGCTTGAAGACTTGAAGGATCTCAGTGACTTGATTTGGCCGATGCTTAGCGTTTTGCCAGGAGCTGGCATGGCAGGGCTCAGGATTTCCAGCATTGCAGCGGAAGGAGGTCGAGTTCGTCAAGGCCGTCGGAGTGTGTGTGGGGTCTTGGCAGTCTTGTCGGCTGAATGTGATGTGCACCCAGGGTAGGGAGTGAAGGGTGACCTGCCTGGCGGTGATCCGATTGTGCATTGTGGCTTTCCACGCTCAGGCAACCTTGGCCTATCACAGAGACGAGCCCTTGTATTCGGATGAGCAGTGGGACGAACTCAAGGCGGCAGTTGTGCCTTGTTTTTTCAACATGGTCACGATATGCCACGATGACAGTTTGAGCATTGGGGGGCCTCTCAAAGTAGAGACCAACCAATGACTAGAGTCGAGCTAAGGAATCAGACGGAATGCGTGCAGATGTGGCCGCATTTCTCCTCTACAGCAGCTTAGTTTTCGAGAAAGGCAATTTCTTACTTTGGAGCAAACATGCCACACCGCTTGGGCCTAGGATTTTGTGCGGCGAAGTTGACCGACAAAAATCAAAGCCCGTGGAATCTAATGGAACCAACTAACAAAATATGTTTTTGTGCTTGTGGGGATTCACGCACACTCACCACACAGATATACCACACGGAATGGTGGCGTGGTACACATTTGCGTTGCTTCACCTAACAACCTAGCCTTGATTCATCCAGTTGTTTCGGATTCTCAGGTAAAGGCCAAGAGATTTTGGACGCTGACTCCTACAGTAGGATGCAGAAGGTGCCCAGAAAGTCGTCAACACAGCGAGAGAGAGGGAGAGAGAGAGAGAGAGCGCGAGAGAGAATGAGTGACCTGGCTTCAGTGTAAGGGTTTTGGCCACCAATCGCCACCTCGCATGAGCATTGCTTGGGAATTGTTGGCAGGAGCTGGCCAAGATCGGCGTGAGCGTGAAGAAAGCTGGATCCAATGCCTTGCAGCAGACCATCAATATTACCAGTGGAAAACTTGAAAATGATGTACTCCAGGCAGGTTTTGTGCTGTCAGGCTGTTAGGTCATGCCTGCGCACTTCCCCTTTGTTCTCCCTTGTTCTCAGCTCCAGACCTGGTTATGGCTCCTTCATTCAGAGATCGGCTCGCGCGGCTGTAGTTTCGGCGGGACCAGCGCCGACATGGAGAACTTGGCTCCGAGTCTTGCATCGTTCGCACGTGTCGGCGATGTGGCATCACCGACAAAACAAGTGCGTCATCCACTGAGACATTCCGACTACGGCTCCCCAAAGCAAACGCATGCACTCCCCAAGTCTCTCCTGTGCTTGGGTGTGGGGGCTGTTGGCCGCAAAAGCCTGAGCAGCAAATCAAAGGTGACCAGTTCGTCACGGACGGCATACACTGACGTGCCCCGAGCCAGCCTGGTGGTGCCCGAAGTGGCCATTGGGCAAAGCACCATGCCAGCCATTGCCTTTGGTGTTGGCTCTCGTTGGTTGGAAGATGAGGATCGTGAGGAGCGCTTGAAGCGCTCCATTCACTCAGCTTTGGACGCTGGATTCCGTCATCTTGATGATGCAGAAGCCTATGGAATGCAGGAGCTTCTGGGTGAGGCCATCCATGAATGGATGGAGAAAAGTGGAGCCAAGAGAGAGGAGCTCTTCATGACCAGCAAGGTCTGGAGCCTTGATGGAGACATTGTGGCCAAGTGCCGGCAGCTTTTGAAGGATAGCCGCCTGGACTACTTCGACCTTCTGTTGGTGCATTGCGCCTGTACAGAGGCCGGCGACCCATTTAAGAAGCCACTCCCCGCCATTTGGGAGGAGATGATGTCTATCAAGCAATCTGGACTTGCAAAGGAGATTGGGGTGTCCAATTGGCGCATCCAAGATCTTGAAAGCATCAAAGATGCGGAGATCCAGCCGGTCTGCAACCAGGTTGAGGCACATGTTTTCTTGCAGCAGGTGGGCCTTCGCGAGTACTGCCGGAGGCGGAACATTGTGATGACATGCTATGGTGCACAAGCGCCAGTGGCTAGGCTTGAATGCTTAGATGAAGCCGCCCCTCTTTTGCAAGAGGCGTTGGCCAAATCGTGTGAACGGCATGGCAGGAATGTGGGCCAGATCCTTCTTCGTTGGGCCTACCAGAACGATCTAATCACCGTTACCACCAGCACCAAGATTGAAAGGATTCGGCAGTCCCTAGAAATCTTTGACTTTGAGCTGAGTCAAGAGGAGATTGGAGTGCGCCAAATCGGGCCAAACACCCAAGTATATATTTTTGTCAATTATTTTGGAGTATTTTCGAGTCAATTCTATGACATGAGTGCATGATCATGATTTTTAGACATTGCTGCTCGTATATGGTAGAGGCTAGGAGGTCAAGGAACCCTTGTGCTTTTCCGACAGCGGGACCCGTCCAGGAGATGCTTGCCCTCAGCCAAGCTGGGGCCAAGGCGCCGATGCGTCGCTTCTTTTGGCCGGACCTGCAACCTGGCTTCTGGGCCTCGGATCCAGCCAGCGAGATTGAGAGCCGGCCATGGGCGGAGATCGAGCCGTTGCTGAACCGTGCAACATGCTAAGCCAAGTGAGATAAAGATGGGACAGCATTTGGTGTCGTTCCTTCGTGAACAAGTGGAGATTTGGGCAAATCATGGTCCACCCAAGTCCGTAAATCGCACGACTTTACATCGACTTACATGGACCTTGATCTAGACTCTGTCATCCACGCACACCTAGGAACAAGGACAAGTTTAAATACTTTGCTTCGATGCACCAATGCTTTTTGACTTGCAATTTGTTGACCCTCGCATCATATCCGCATGCGCAAGTTCTTGGTGCCCAAAGAAGTTGGAAAGGAATGACATCTGAAGTGCCCCCAGTAGATAGCAGGGCTGTGACGGCCTTGCAATAGCCAGGGTTTGTAAGTCGTTGGAAGACCAGTTTGTGGAGCAGCTCACTTGGGGCTGCTCCGCGATTGTAGGCACTGCAGGTGCTCTACCACGAAGCCACGAGTTTAGGGACAGTCGGTTTGACGTGCGAGTGCAAGTCATGACAAGCGGACGCATTTTTGTACATATGCACACCCAGAAAGACACACGTAGACCTTTATCGGAAGCTTGGGCTGCCGCTGAGTGTCCATTTGCCGTTTTTCCTAGCTGCATCAAGCTGTACTGTAGCTTCTACATTTTGCAATTCATGCACTTTGCAGTGAGTTCGAAGGAACTTTACCGACCATGGACGCGAATACTGTATAAAGAGGAAGTCAGAATGCTTGTCCCAGGGGCTGAAGGAAAGCCCTCCTCAATTCTTCGCATGCTGTTATTGTTGCCACAAAGCCTGAAAGCTGTTTCTGCAACGTGTGGCAAAAACCTAACCTCGGAGGTCTTCTTCATGGTTTCAGCGTTGGCATCCATCCCCACCATTTTGGCTACTGCTTTGGTTTGGGCTGTGGGGCTTTTCCTGGACTTTGAGTTCGTCCCAGAGGCTGTTACATGGCAGCAGCCCTCATCATCCAGCCAGCGCAGCAATGTCATGTAATCATGTATCACTCTTTCAATGTGCGAATGCGTGAGAATAGAGAGCATGGGCGATAATATTGGTATTGTCCTTGAACCTACTAGTAGCTTCTTGTTCCTAGTAGAAATGCACCTTGTTACTAGTAGCGTCCTTGCCACTAGTAGCGATGCCCTTTGTTACTAGTAGCTTCTTGTTCCTAGTAGCGATGCCAGGAGCTATACTAGTAGCGTCCTTGCTTCTAGTAGCGATTACGTTATGCCAAGGCGTGGGGCTCAATTCTGTCGGCTGAGTTTGTTCCGCTCTTCGTCATTGGAATTGGCATCGGTGCCGTGGCTAGAACTTTCCACCATTTCCACTGGTGTCCTTCCTCTTGTTGTGACAGTGTCAGTCATACTGGCTCAATGCACTTAAGCTTATAGCCTCCCTTAAACTGGTGGAGCTGAAGAAGACACCCGGCCAGATAGCCATCTGACACTTGGTTTGTGTTGGGGGTTTCCATTGTTTGTTCCTTGTCCTGTTGCATTTGATACAGGTTGCCAGATTCATGATGCAGGTATATGGAATAACTAGCTCGCTGCATCAGGAAGCTCCAGCCAATCTATTTGGCTCCAAGGTTGGTGAAACGAAGCTTTGTTCCGCCTTCCTATATCACACGCACTAAGCACATGACATGATACAGCATGATACTATATTTGCTGCACTGCATTCGACATTTGATGGCACATCTGCGGCGCGAAGAACCTGTTTGTGTTGGGAAGAGTGGCAAAGTCAGCTTAGGGCTTAGGTAGGGTTTGCAAGCATGCGGATTTTGTGCTATATATATATATAATATGTTTTTTTTGCTGTTTTGTGGTGGATTCTTGTTTGCTCGCTTCTTCATGCTCACTGGCTATCATGGCCCTGATGTATGACAAATTTACCACATTCAGGTGCAACCACACATCCTTGCTCTTCATGCCCCACAGCAACTTCACCTCGCGTCCCTCATAGAAGCGTCCCTTCCACTCAAGCGGTGGGAGTTGCACCATGACCACCGGGTTCACAATTGCGCAGTCCTGCTCGCGCACTTTGCGTTTCCGCTGCTTTGTCGCAACGGAATCCCCCACCTGAGACTCTTCCATCTCCATTTGTTCCTGGGCAGCTTTCACAGAAGCAGCTACCCTCATGTTCACTAAGTTGTCGAAGGCTGGGGTATTGGCATTGGCGGGTTCTTGCCCATGTTTGCTGGTGCTCGACATTGGCTTTGATAAGCAGAAGTGGACAAACCCACGGTCAAACTTGGACAGCTTGATGTAGGGCTCGTTCAATTTCATCACAGTGGTGGGTACCCAAGTTCTTTTGCGATCCTTGATGACCCAGCATTGCTCGATCTCGAAGGTCTCTTCAGTGGCATCTTCCTCACCCTCTCCCTCGAAGTCCTTCTCTGACCCACTGTCATGCTCTTGAGGCATGATGTGGCCGCTAGTTTGCCCAAGCTACAGGCGAAACCCTGCAGGCAAATGCTAGGCAAGCTTTCAAATCGTCGAGCACTGTGGCTGCACAAACACGACAAGTTGCGAGCTTGGTACAATCTTAGAGCCCTGCACCACACACACACAAGCACAGTGCGAGCAAGAAAGCCCTGCCACATGTGTCAGTTCAGTTCTGCAAGTTTTCAAGCTTGATTTCAACAAATCTCAACTCGTCTCAAGTGATGCGAGCGCACTGAAGAAAGTGTCAAAGCCCTGCATCACGACATACTTCTCAAGCAAACAAAAACTTCACTCTAGCCACCTCAGATGTCCTGAAGCCCCACCTACGACCTTGATTACACGTTAGCAAGTAACTTCCTTTTCCACATCAATCAAAAAACGCGCATCAGCTATGCGGACGGGGCTTCAGAGTGGCAAGTGGGTTGCAATGCCATGACAACAAACAAAATGTTTCAATATGAAGAAATACTCATTGTCAAAGACCTCATGGATGCAAACATCTCTTCATGGATCATCCACACTCAGCACTCTTTCCAGTCTTCCTTCGCTTAGTAGCTGGTGCACTTGTGGGCTTGGCAATTGGGATCAATGCCTCAGGCTCAGCGTCGGGAAGCTTCTCCACATACAGCATCAACGCATCCCCCTCCTTCAAAGCAACCGTGTTCTGCATGACGGGGATCTTCAAAGCATCAGAGCCGCCATGCTTCCATCCTTCTCAGGGCCAACAACCTGAGAGTGCAAGTACCACTCTTGGCCCTCAATCTCCCCCAGCGACAATCCAGCCTTGCTGGACTTCAAGCTCACCGCAGGTGTCGATGGTACCAGAGTCATTTTGCCCTTCTGGATGGGAGAGGTGACTTTCACATTTCGAGTTGGCTTGAGGACAATGGCCAAGTTTTTTTTGGCACCCCCGGTGCTTCGACTCCAAGGCTAGAAGCGCTCCCATGATCTTGCCTTTGGTCACCATATTGAGCATGTCAGCATTCTCAAAGCCACAGTGATTGCTGAGTTGCTCAAACCCATATTCGAGAGATTCCACCTGGCGCTTGATGATTTTCCACTCATTGTGCAGAAAAGACTTGCAACTGAGCTGGAACAATCCTTCATCCAACTGCAGGACAACAGTGTCGCCTCCCATGGAACCGATAGTGGCTGCCAACTTGTCCTTGCGGCGTTGGATTGTTGAGCCAGGCTTGAATCCCATCTCCTTGACCAACTGGACTGAATCCGTCAAGTCACCTGGGGGTGCTGCAGACTTACACAAATCCAGCTTGGCCCTATGTCCATCCCAGCAGGCGCTGATGCGAACCGCGACAGTCATCTCCACTGCGTCCACCAAGTCCAGGGCAGCGCACTCCATGTCTGCCACAGCTGGTGGCCTTCTGTCCAGCGCGCAAAGGAGCACCGTGTCTTCAAACTTCCACACATGCGGCAGCACTGCCTCATACTTCGGGCCCTCTTCGCCCCCCTTCTTTGTTGAGCAACTTCCTGACCTTGAGGATGAGCTTCTGACCATTCATAATGGGTTCTGCGAGTTGCGCACTATAGATCTTCTTGATGTCACTTGGGCCTAGTTTGTGTTTTTCTCCTCACAGCAGTATGCCATTGCCAGTGCACATTGTCGCAACACACTGAGCGCTTCCCCCTTTGTTTCCTTTGTTTCGCCGCTCAAGGACCTGAAAAAAGTCTGGTCCAAGGCTTCTTGTGAGTAAGCCTTCCATGATCAGCCGGCTGTTGATCGTCCAAATTTGACAACAAATTGATACATGAAAGGAGTCGCAGCACTGCATTGAGGTTTTGTGCGCTGGATCACCTTCTTGATTGCGTCCCAAGTTGAGTCCATCCCATCTACAGTAAATCGATCAAAGCCTTGATCCTGAGAAGCACCTGGAACTCCGACTCACCTCTGGCCACCTGGCTGGCCGTGTTGCCAGCCTCCTGCAAAAGGGCACAAACACCCGGCACTTCAGCAGCTGCTGCGGACACAACGGTCCACTCAACTCCGTGAGTCACTGCAGCGGCCATGTTTTTGTCAACGCCGTCCACCAAAATGCAACGACAGCTTCCCATTCACCACCACTGTTGAGCCTGCCTCCGTGTGTGGAGCCTCATGAGCAATGCAACGCAAGGCTGCGTTGAGGTGGGAACCTGAGACGGGATCCGTACTTCAGCAAGTGAGCATCCCAGGGTGGCAGTGATCCTCCAGAGTTCTTCACAATGTTGTCGCAGAAGGTGAACAGCTTTGACCGGTCATCAACCTCTACACAGACTGCACTGGTTTGGGTTACATCGAAGCCCACCTGTAGAACGCTCTCCAGCAGGTTGTGACAATCCTGCGGGCTCAGCCCAAACCCGTCGCGGTTGGCTGGGTGAGGTCCCACCGCATCTGGAAGTAATCGGGTGCGGTGGACGAGTTTGTGCTTCTGGAGCGTGAGCATTAGCTCCTTATGTGCAACCATCACTTGGTCCATCTTCAGCGGACGCAAGATTGATGCCCGTGCGAGCCAGAGTTGGAGCCCTGCACTGTGCACAAAAGCCACTCTCTCAGCCAAAAAACACAAAGGCGCAGGACAGGAGCCACAATCAATCTTTGGCACCAATTAAACTCATGATTCAAGCACATGCGAGCTGTGCATGAACACATGGCCCTGCAAGTGCAAGCAACTCATGATGACAAATGCGAGCCACGCACAGGTGGCCCTGCAAAAGATACCCAAACATTGAAACCATGTTGAACTCGTTACTATAGTCTCAAATTCATCACTTCCTCATCGATGATCTTGCAGGCCCCGCCTCTACCAGCGCTGCTCTGGGATGCCCACCCCGGCGCAACGTGTGTCCCACACGTCGCAAGATATTTCTAAAATAGCTGACTGGCAAGTGAACGTGTTTGTGTCAACTGTCAAGTACACTTAAAAGTGCTAAACAATGGCATCACAAAAGGAATCCTTTCAGAGGCTGCAGCGTTTCAAGGAACACAACCAAATCTAGAAACACTCTTGCACTGCAATGTCGGTGCCGTTCAACTGAAGTCTCAACTGGTGCAAAGACATCTCTACCTCTGGAAAGAAAGCACACGCTCAGCTGGTTTTTTCTTTCCGATGAACCCTGCTCATATGAAAGCACAAGAAAAATCACATACACTGATTGCATGCAACTGGCAAGAACCAAAAACACACAGGTAACAAACTGTCACAAAATGCACACGTCAAAAAATCACAAAATGCATACGTCAAAATGCACATCATTAACGGTCACAGTTACAAAACACAAAAATTTGCGCTTTGCGGCTCTAGAAAAAATGCTTGTACGAAAAACATGAGTTTTTTTCAAAGCAATGTGGCCAGTTAGTAAACTAGTTTGCGCTGGTTTGCAACCTGCTTATAAACTGTCCAACCGTGTGTGGCTATTCCCGCTAACCTTGTTGGTCTCAGGCATCATTTTCTTTAACTTGCTTGCGCCTGTTTGGCGCACATGCATAACCAATTTACGAAAAGCTTGGAAATTAGTATCCACGTTTGGCTACATGTTAACATTTAATACTTTGTCGCGACAAAGTAATAAGTTGACCAACACCAATGGCCATGGTGGCTTCGATAGAAACCGGCCACACATATGTTGGCAAGCATATAACATAGCTTGCCGAAGTTGTTAACCTACTATATAAATAGCTAAGTAGACAGAAAAATTAGAACCAGGTATGGTCATCCAAGCGGAACCTATTTGACCCTAATTCGACTCACTGTTCTCACTATGTCTCACTGATTGCACCTGATAAAGTGCTGGCGTCACAGTGATACGCAATGTTTGCTTGTAACTTGACACCGCTGAAGCCAAGGCCTGGTGTTGTCAAATTGGATGCTTGGAAATGCTCTTTTTTTGGGAGGGGTCATCTTGCACGATGGGAAATTGTAGTCGGCACCAACATTTCTTTGCACTAAAGCCCCATGAGTGGTGACTTGTCCCATGTTTGGAGCGCTTTGGTGTGAGTTTTGACGGCTACATTGTTCACGAACACAACTTAAGAACTTTTAATTTCGCGCATCAGTCTTCTTTTGGCTCTCACAAGCTCATAACCAAATTGAATTTTCCAGCGAGGAGAGGCCCGCTTGAACCTTGCACCAAGGATCCTTGAGTTTTTGGACCTACAAAATCCCGAGGTTCTCGTGGGAACTTGCCCGTCGTGCAACCGAGCGCAGCTAAAAGTTGACGATTCCTTGAAGACATGGCAAAGTGACAGAGGCATTGGCCTTCCTTTTCGAAAGCTGAGGCAATTCACCTATCAAATTGTTTTCGGGCGGAGTGGCTGGGCCGGAGTTCGAGCTAAAGTGGAAATATTTTGTGCCGGTCGAGCCTTGCTGATTGACGTGGGTTCAAACTCCTGACACGGCACGGGCCCTCTTTGGCCCAAAAATTGTGGGGCTTCTGCTAGCTCAGGCAGCTCCGCAAAAGAATGTGAATTACTCCTGTGCCGAGCCACCCTGCTGAAAATGAGAAAGCCCACACAGGGTACATAGCTGAACTTGTGGGCCAAGCATGGGTCATGCAAGCCTGGAACACGGAGAGCCTTCACTGTTCATCAGCAAGCAATCTTCAAGCATTCAAGATCATTGAAAGGGAAAGGATTGAATGAAGAGACAGAAAACAGGACAAGAGTCCGTACAAGACCCTTGAAACAGGTTTTCTGTTGTGTGGAGCTGTGCCATGCTGTGCCTGCTGGGTTGCCCTTCCTAGGTGTGGTTGCAAGATGGTGCTAGATACCCAGGAACGTCAGATCACCATGGCGGGTGCCAGTGCGGATGATGTCAGAGACACATCCTCCTTCGATTGGAAGAAGGCTTGGGAGGAGCTCCAACGGTGCGGTGAAGCATCCAGCTTGAAGAACGGTTTCAGCCTTGTGGATGCAAACATCTGCAGAGATTTTTTTCCATGATATTGGGTTCCACAAATCCGAGACCCCCCTTGCAACGCTTAAACGGATTGATGGCTCGCTCCCCAAAATATACACTTTACGGAGACATGTCATGCAGCGATTTGCATCTCCCACCACGCCTGGCGAGAGATGAATCAATGGACCACTTTGTCAATAGGCCACATCCGTAGTGGGTACGATCATCAAGGTAGCGTACCGGCAATGTCGTACGTATGTCAAGATAAAACAAATGATAAAACACTGGCAAGCCACAACAGGTTTTGACATGTTTTCAAAGTATATATATATATATCTAAGGGCTGCCGCCCAGCCCAGTGCCGCCGACCCCAGGAAGGGAGACAAAAGAGGTGTGGGGCGGACAGAAGGCATGGTGACGAGTGGGTGGTAGGGCAGAACACATGGGGACTCCGCGGCATGCTGCATCGGCTACGTGGAATCCCCAATGTGAGGAGATATTAAAGGGTGTGGGGCAGACAGAGGGCATGGTGACTCCACGGTGTGCTGCGTCGGCTACGTGGAACCCCCATGTGGATGTTAAGGGGCTGGAGGACGCAGCAGGTTCGGGGCCATGGCAGTGTAGACCGGGTAGCAAGAGGGATGAAGTGGGAGACAAAAGGAATGGTCCCCATGTGGTTGTTACTCGGGGTGGCAGTGGGACATGGCACCAGTATAGGGCGCAGGCAAGAGACGAGGTAGGTGGTAGGGCAGAACACATGGTGACTCCACGGCGTGCTGCATCGGCTCTTAGAATCCCCAATGTGAGGAGGGGGCAGGGATAGGGTAAGCGTTAGAGATATTGAAGGCTGTGGGGCAGACAGTGGGGCCAGTAGAGGGTGCAGGCAAGAGACGAGGTGGGTGGTAGGGCAGAACACATGGTGGCTTCACGGCGTGCTGCATCGGCTACGTGGAATCCCCAGGAGGGGGCAGGGATGGGGTAAGCATTATAGAGATATTGAAGGGTGTGGGGCAGACAGTGGGGCCAGTAGAGGGTGCAGGCAAGAGATGATGTAGGTGGTAGGGCAGAACACATGGTGACTCCACGGCGTGGGGTAAGCATTATATAGAGATATTGAAGGGTGTGGGGCAGACAGTGGGCCAGTAGAGGGTGCAGGAAAGAGATGAGGTAGGAGGTAGGGCAGAACACATGGTGACTCCACGGAGTGCTGCGTCGGTTACGTGGAATCCCCAATGTGAGAAGTGGGCAGGGATGGGCATTAGAGATATTAAAGGGTGTGGGGCAGACAGGGCATGGTGACTCCAAGGTGTTCTGCATCGGCTGTGGGGCTGGAGGACGCAGCAGGGCCAAACGTCACTTCTGAACCGAAAAAATCAAGGTTCTGGCAGGCAATTCCACTGTTCCAGGCAAAGAAACCAAGCCACAAGACACCCTTCGAATCAGGAAAACACCCTGGCACGGCGTGACGAAACAGCCTCCTGCCGTCCCCCCAAACGTCATTCCTGAACCGAAAGAAAAAATCAAGGTTCTGGCAGGCAATTCCACTGTTCCAGGCACGGAAGCCAAGCCACGAGACACCCTACGAATCAGGAACCGAATGAAAAAATCAAGGTTCTGTTCGGCAATTCCACTTTTCCAGGCACAGAAACCAAGCCACAAGACACCCTTCGAATCGGGAAAACATCTTGGCACGGCGTGACGAAACAGCCTCCTGCCGTCCCTCTGCCCAGGCCAAACGTCACTCTTGAGCCGAATGAAAAAATTCAAGGTTCTGGCAGGCAATTCCAATGTTCCAGGCACACAAACCAAGCCGCAAGACACCCTCCGAATCAGGAAAACACCTTGGCACGGCGTGACGGAACAGCCTTCTGCCGTCCCTCTGCCCGGCCAAACGTCACTCCTGAACCGAATGAAAAAATTCAAGGTCACGCACACAAACCAAGCCGCAAGACACCCTCCGAATCAGGCAAACACCTTGGCACGGCGTGACGGAACAGCCTCCTGCCATCCCTTTGCCCGGGCCAATTCACTCTTGAACCGAATGAGAAATCAGTCAAGGTTCTGGCAGGCAATTCCACTGTTCCAGCCAGAAACCAAGCCACAAGACACCCTTCAAATCAGGCAAACACCCTGGCACGGCGTGACGAAACAGCCTCCTGCCGTTCCTCTGCCCGAGCCAAACGTCACTCCTGAACCGAATGAAAAAATCAATTTTTCCAGCACAGAAACCAAGCCACAAGACACCCTTCGAATCAGGAAAACACCCTGGCACGGCGTGACGAAACAGCCTCCTGCCGTCCCTTTGCCCGGGCCAAACGTCACTCCTGAACCGAAGGAATAAATCAAGGTTCTGGCAGGCAATTCCACTGTTCCAGGAACAGAAACGAAGCCACAAGACCCCGTTCGAATCAGGAAAACACCCTGGCACGGCGTGACGAAACAGCCTCCTGCCATCCCTCTGCCCGGGCCAAACGTCAGTCCTGAACCGAATGAAACAATCAAGGTTCTGGCAAGCAATTCCACTGTTCCAGGCACAGAAACCAAGCCACAAGACACCCTTCAAATCAGGAAAACACCCTGGCGCAGCATGATGGAACAGCCTTCTGCCGTCCCTCTGCCCGGGCCAACCGTCGCTCCTGAACCGAATGAAAAAATCAAGCAGGCAATTCCACTGTTCCAGGCACAGAAACGAAGCCACAAGACGCCCCTTCAAATCAGGAAAACACCCTGGCACGGCGTGATGGAATAGCTTCCTGCCGTCCCTCTCCCGGGGCCAAACGTCATTCCTGAACCGAATGACGTTCTGGCAGGCAATTCCACTGTTCCAGGCACAGAAACCAAGCCACAAGACATTCGACTGCCCGGCCAAAGGTCACTCCTGAACCGAATGACCAAATCAAAGTTCTGGCAGGCAATTCCACGTTCCAGGCACAGAAACCAAGCCACAAGACACCCTTCGAATCAGGAAAACACACTGGCACGGCGTGACGAAACAGCCTCCTGCCGTCCCGCTGCCCGGGCCAAACGTCACTCCTGAAACGAATGAAAAATTCAAGGTTCTGGCAGGCAATTCCACTGTTCCAGGCACAGAAACCTAGCCACAACACCCTTCGAATCAGGAAAACACCCTGGCACGGCGTGACAAAACAGCCTCCTGCCGTCCCTCTGCCCGGGCCAAACATCACTCCTGAACCGAATGAAAAAATCAAGGTTCTGGCAAGCAATTCCACTAGAAACCAAGCCACAAGACACCCTACGAATCAAGAAAGCACCCTCCTCCTGCCGTCCCTCTGCCCGGGCCAAACGTCCCTCTGCCCGGGCCAAACGTCACTCCTGAGCCGAATGAAAAAATGAAGGTTCTGGCAGGCAATTCCACTATTCCAGGCACAGAAACCAAGCCACAAGACACCCACCCAAAATTTCGCAGCACATTGCTGCCCAACCTCACAGAACAGCACCACTGGCCTCTGCCCGGGCCAAACGTCACTTGAACCGAATGAAAAAATCAAGGTTCTGGCAGGAATTCCACTGTTGCAGCCACAGAGCTCCACAGTCCCGGGATCTCGGTAGGCAATTCCACTGTTGCAGGTACAGAGTTCCACTGTTCCAGGCGCAGAAACCTGTGCACCGAGCACCAAGGACACTTCGGGGTGGGATCTCTAGATAAAGAAGCAGTACTGTAGCCCACCTCATGCCCACAACTGATACAACGAAACATACCATTTCGGGGCGCGCTCCCCTTGCTGCACCACGGGGTCGGCGGATAGTATACCTTGCCATAACGTTCCACCTAGTTTCCCGACGCAACCTGTTGCAAGTCGCAACGATGAACCCACCTCAGTTTCCACAAAATGTTCCCACTTGGTCTTGGGAACACAGGGGGCAAGTGCCAAGTTCGGCCAAAAGACTTGCCAGAACCGAAGGTGAAGGTCAAGAGATTGTATTTGAGATGCCTAGGCTGCAGCAAATGCACAAAAAACACGCAGCACAAGGTTCATCAAAGCAATCATTCCCTGCGGCTTTCTGCAGTTGTTGGAGGCTTTCAATGAAGTGCCCTTGGAAAGCTGCTCCTTTAGCCTATGGGTGCAGCTAGGGTGATTCCGCCGCTTTGTCAGGACGTGAAATTTGCTGCTAAGCGATCCGCAAAGGCTGCACAAAGCTTGGCCAGGTGTGGACTTCTGACGGGTTCAGTTCTAGTTTCTTGCTACTACTAGCGATGCCCTTGTTACTAGTAGCGATGCCAGGAGCTACTAGTAGCGTGCTTGTTCCTAGTAGCGGCCTCCAACCCCCAGACTGGGCCTGGGAGCGCCTTTTTGATTGGAAGTGACGAATTCCCTAGCAGGTCATGATTTCTTCCACGCCAAGAAGGCCTGAAAAGCAAGGGCTGACGTCAGTTTCTCCCTGCCCTCCCAAATGTGGCGGGCTGTGAGGCCGAGGAAGGTAGCAATTTCATGCAATTTTCAATGATTTTCTTAATGTCAGAAATGTGCTTCGGTTGTTCTGGCACGAGCCATCTGTGAGTTGGGTTGCACGCCGGAAGAAGAGAGCCGAGAGAAAGTGGACGATGGCGCCGCTGCGTGAAGGGATGCTGAGCTGCAAGGTCAAACCACACATTTCAATTGAATTTGAAGCTAAGCAGGCATCACCGTCTTAAGAATTCTTAGACGCCCCTTGTTACCATAGGAACCTTTTGCGTTATGTCATGTCTGAATCCTTCAAACGAGTGCGCATACAATACGAAGATCAAGACGAGAACTGGACGTATGTGTGGAACGCTGGTGGGCCCAGTAGGAGGCATGGATCCGAAGGGAGCCCGGCCGCCGTAGAGCTGGCCGATCCTGATTCTGGCCATGGAGGGGGCATGCAGCCCTAAGAAGACGGCCACAACACCTAGCTCAAAAGGTGCTTGGGAATCGAAGACCATCGAATACCCAATTTCAAGATTGGTTTGGCATGAAATGGCTTTGTTTCGCGTGTGGCGCAGATGATCAGAACGGTTAAATTTCCATGAGGTATATTTATGTAATTGCTTTGATGTTTGTCGTGTCGCTGCTACAGGTGCAGGTGCCAGCCCCCACTTCCGCAAAGCTACTTGGATGCTGAGATTGCATGCTTCCTTCGGACATTGAACCGAAGAAACTTTCAGGTTTTTATTGAACCTGCAACAAACAGCCAAAGTCTCTTCTTTGCACCTAGTGCGGTAGCTTTACGCATCATTCAGAAGTTCGAGAGATCTGGATAACAGCCCACATAATGTAATTACAAAAGAGCTGGTATAGTATAGTCACAGAGGGCACTGTGTGAAGGTTTGTTGAATCAAATGGAAGAGAGGTATGGGCTGGTTGTATTATTAAATATGAGCATAGCAGGACACCAGGCGTTCCGAGGGAGGCCCAATGAGATCAAGTCTATAAAGAGTGACGGTGGGCACAGAATCTGCCGAAATGGTTGTTTCGTTTGCTTTTTGTTGAAGCATGTGGCTGCATGGGTCAAATAAGCAAACCTCGACCTGGAATGACCAGAATGTTCCACTCTACCCACTGGGGGGTGTTGAGTTGCTTTTTTCTTGTCCAATTATACCTTGGTGGTGACTTCTCAGCCAAGGCTCAGACAGCAGATGCCTCAGATATATCGCCTCATAAGGCGCTTTGGTTTTTGAGTGCCGCTCATCAGCGGAATTGCAACACGGTGACTGATCGCCTTTAACCGTTTGTAAGAGGAAACTTGGTTCTCTGACATGTCCTATATATTCCTATATTATATGTTTGTTTATGTTGTTTTTTTTGGCTGTAGTTCTGAAAATGGATCGTGATTGTGCAAATAGTTCAGCAAGTGATCAGAGTGCGGAAGCCCTCAATCATCCTCAATCCAATGTCGAGAAATACTGCCATTATACCGACCATCCTTTGATGCAGGTTCGGTGGAGGAGCTTGATCATGTCGAATCAGAACCAGAACCTTTTGCGAAGCACTCCGGACTATGTGGTGCTTCACTCTTTTGGTCGGGCTTTGACCTCAGCCATCAACAGCAAATGTTAAAGCTGAATTGATCACTCTCCAAGGGTAAAGCTGAATTGATCACGTCTCTAAGGTCTTCCGTGATTTCCCGGATGGTTTTGACACCTTCAAATTGTCAGATGCTCTTCTGTGAGATTAACGACTGTCTCCAAGCTCCAGCCTGGAATGACAATGCATGTCTCGCTGCCCAAAGCTTGCTTGAAGCATTTAATTTGGTGTTCTTTTGTTTCAGAGCCTATAAGTTGTGCAACGCGGTAGGCCATTTTTTTGATGAAAGATACTGGTAATCCAACCGCCCCTTGGGTTTTGTGCCTTCTCTGACATCGCTCCGTTCCGGTCAACTTCGATTCCGATGACCAAGGATACGACCCATAAGCTTCATGTTTTCGTGTCCCACAATTGGGCAACACCGCAGCTGATAAAGTTCATGGCTTCTTGGCAATATGGACTTAGACCTAGCACAGACTGGCACCATCTGGCACCTGAATGCCGTTCACAGCAGCTTTCGACACCTTGGCATGGATGGGACAAGAATGGCATGCAGTCGTAGATGTTCTTCATTTTTGATTTTCTCTCGACTCAGGCTTTCTTTCTACGTGTGTTGAGCAAATCCAATTTGCGCTTAGTGCGAGTTAGTATGGTACGAAGATCTGGCTGAGAAGTTAGGAGTGAAGCCATTTCCATCAGACCAGCTGTTCAGTGATTATGTAGCAGCCCGAGGATTTTCCGGCCACAAGCGCCAATAAAGATATAAAGCAAACTACAACCCCCAACTGTGGAACATCCTGTCCTGCAAGTGATGCAAAAGGTGAGGAAGACGAGGTGGGCCCATACTAAGAGCTTCGGAAAGTCAATGCCAAGAAAGCCGGCCAGGGGGCAGATTGGGGCTGGCTCACCAGCATGTGGCTTTCAGGCCGCAAGACAAGGAAGGAAGTACAGAACAAGCAAGCCAGCCAGCCAGCCAGCCAGCAAGCAGCCCTGGGAAGTGATGGGGTTGCTGCGGTCGCACGGTAATTACTTGTGTCAATGGTTTCCGGATGATTCCAAGGCTCTTGCCTTCCACTTCAACCACCGCAGCGCTTCTATCGCGGCAGCCATTGCCTACGTCATTACGGTCTTGGCAGTCATGTGCACCGCGACTGATGTTGACAGTGATGACCAGCTCAACGACCTGTTTTTTACCTGCCACTTGGGCACTGGCGTGTGTCTTGCCACCTACTGGCCACTTGGCATGGCCAGGTTCCGCGTGTGGGCCGCGTGTTGGCCTGTTGGCCTTGGAATTGTCCACATGGTGGCTTCGTGAGATCCATGTCATGCGATAGTTCATGCCTTCTCCTAAAGTGTGTGTGTGTGTGTCGCAGTTGTGTTGGTTCTGCAAGCTCTGAGAGAAGCCTTTTGTGAGTACTGGAAAAGCGATGGTTTCTACATTGCCTTGATGCGTGTGGGGCACAAGACAGGCAAAGCCTGGCCTGGAACACGATTGAAAAGGGACAAAGCTGGCCTTGATTGATTTCAACACGATGTTGATTCATAGAAGTTCATAGATGTTTTGCCATTGCTGCCAGTTTGTTTCAACATTCAAGAAGCCGCTAAGAAGCAACAAGTACTGCGCTACTTAGTGACTACTTGGACCTTGAGGATCTAATAACGACATGAACCCGTGGGCTGTCAATCTGTTGCAAAATACACCATGGCAGAGCCATCCAAGAACTGAGCAACACTGTGACGACTTGCATTTGTTACATATCTCGTTATGCACCCTTCTGGAAGATTACCATCGCTGTATTCTTTTACCCTTGTTCTTTGTGTTACTGTACCCTTGTTATGGTCCATGTACATGCAATGCATGTCAAAGACAATGGCGACTCATGGAGACAGTGGGTGTTTGTGTTTTTGTATAAACATGCAGCCCCCTCACCCATGTCACAAGTGGCGCGCGCACCCATTTCGTTTCCAGCCAAGTTGCCAAGTTGCTGCAAGAGCTCTGAGATTTTCGAGAACAGTCTAGATAACAGGTGGACGGTTGATTTGCTTCATGAAGATGATTTACTCTGTGAGGGAAGGACCCCGATGGGGGATAGTGGGGGTCACTTTGGATTGCTTTAGGTTTGTCGATGTCTCTCGTTGCTTGTGCAGGTTATGCCTCTTATTCTGGCATGATATCAAGTGGCTGTTTTGCTTCCGGGGAAAGCGCGTTTTTTTGGACCGTTGCTGCATCCACCAGACTGACGAAGACTTGAAGCAGCAAGGGATTGAGCATCTAGATGTGTTTTTGCAGCTGTCCGACTCTCACTTGGACCTGCACACATTTTGACCTTATTTTGTTGGCTGCTGATGATGATCCTTCCACTCATCAACATGGAAGTGGACATCCACCTGTTTGTAAAGGAATATGGCTTGAAAGGGCCCATTTTCAGCTTCCATGTTGGTGAGTTAGAGTGCTTTTCTTGCCATGTCATCCGTCCAAGTAAGGACAAGATGTTGGTTGTTTATTCCGAGCTCTACACCAAGAAGCCTTTTAGCACATTTAGCGTCATTGCAGTGACACACAGTTTAAGAAGAGATAAGAAGAGCAAATGAATGCAATTGCAGACATGGACACGGTGCCATATACAACTTAGGCTTTGGACAATGTACGAGCTGGGCACGTTTCTTCCGAAGCGAGGGCCAAAACGGCTTGTGGTTTTGCCAACCTTTCTCATTCGATGTACGATTGTGGCGGTGCCCATGCTGATACTGCATTGCGTTTGGGTGCAACTGCTCCTGTTGGATTGTGTCGCTGACTTAGTTTGAACGTGTTTCGGCACAAAGTCCTGATTCTTTCCTATCATTGGTTGGAGTGCCAAGGTCAAGGAGCACAGCAGCCGACTACTGCCGGACCATCGTTACTCGAAGTGAAATATTATCAGAGTTTTGCCTTTGCCTTGTCAGTAGCTTGGTGGGCTTGGCTCATGAATGCCCACTAAAGTCACCAGAGTCTCTGGTTCTCGAAGGCCTGGCCATTGGCATTTTGGATTTCCCCTTGCTGCTGGCGGTGACCTGGGCCTTCCGTTCATGGGCCAAGGAGGAGAGGCAGATGTTGAAGAACATCAGGACAGCTGACATGCCCACACGGAAGAAAAAGAACCGACAGTGAAAGATGGGGGGGAATCACTTGTCAGTGTTGACCACTGTATTGTTTGTTATCTTGGAACCTTGAGATTTTAGAGTGTTTAGAGTGGCTTCTTGTGATGGGTGAAGGGAAGAGCGCGTGACCTGAGGACCTTTCATTATGGTGCCATGGATGCACAGAGGCCTTTGACATGTTGATTAAGTTTCCCTAAACATCTAGGAAGCAACCCATTAGCGGGAGCACTCTTCAAAGAAGAAGCTTGAGCTATCCTGCGTCCATATGTAGTAGCTTGCTCCCTACTTAATCAAGTAGGCGCCTACTTGATTACAAAAGTAGGAGGGTGGGGCCTCGGGATACTCAATTTATTTTGCCATTTTAAGGGCCATGGGAGGAGCTTTAGTTGTTTAATTTGGCTGCTGGACGTTGTTCTGAGGTGATGCCAACTGCCTCCAAGAGACAGATCGCACCCTGGAATGAGGGGGAGTGTGTTTGACGGCGCTCACTATGTAAAAACCTGTTGGTTGCAACTTCGAACATTCATGATCACTAATGTATTGTGCATTCGTTAGGATTTGCCAGCCAAGATGTGTGCTCAGCCCTCTTCTGCATAAATGTCAATCCTTGGGCGTTTCAATAAGTGGGCACGCTTTATTGCTTTTTGTGTTTTTCTCCTTCAGCCACGCCGTAGAGGCTTGCCGGGAAGCCGGCCTTGTTTGCACTGGGTGCTACAGCTGAGGCATCATGGTCTATGACAATATCGCCAGGCCTGAGGATGTTAGGGGACCACGGTAGTACACTTTTTCTAATATTGTTTATATTTTTTCTGCACTGCAGTCAACCACAATCATCATAATATACTTTTAAAGGGTGGAGGCCATCGCTAATAGGTTGGAGGCCATCGCTAGTAGGTTGGAGACCATTCCTTTTAGGTTGGAGGCCATTACGATTAGGCTGGAGGCCATCGCTTCGAGGTTGGAGGCCATCGCTATGAAATGTCTAATATAGTTTGCTCTTTGGTTGGAGGCCATCGCCAGGCCTAAGGATGTCTATTTTTAATTAGGGAGCCAATCATGCTCTTCAGTCCTGGTCCCCCCTGCCAAATACCTCATCCTCATTTGTATGTTTGGGGCTGAGTTATAAGTTATAAAGGAACTTTCATTTAGATGTGGCCTCTGAGCCTTGTGTGTGCCTTGTGTGTTTCTCCACAAATCTTAGGGTACGCACATAAAATGCTTTGCACATATGTGCAAACATATAGTCATATAGGACATCTCAAGCAATCCCAAGAGCAAGCCACCAAAGACTAAGCAAACAAATTGCAACGTTGGTCAGGTACATGAGGGACACGAGGGCTGTGACCTCCGAAGCCACAGATGAAGACGCATTGTGACTTGGAAGAAGCTGTGCTAATGCCATGGCATAGGCTAAAGCAAGATTGGCTGGATCTCGTAATTAGACAGTAGACATGAGAAGAGAGGTGCCCAGAGCACGATGTGATGTTTTCCTATACTCGCGTCCTTTGGGAGCGGTGGAGGTTCAATTTGGCCCGTTCTATCCCTTTTTTCCCTCCTGCATTTGTAGTCATGCTTTCAACCTAGGTCGGCTTTCAATGAACTGGTCAAAGCAGAGGTTCCAATTGCAGTGACTCAATCGCTTGGAGGCAATGCTGATCAAGATTGTCATTCCCTTGAAGTTATGGTGAACTAGACAGCTAAACATTGGGTGGCGAATGCGCACGCTGCTTCTTCTGCAACAATTGACCCGAGTGTAATGACATCCTGCAAGAGAGGAAGCAGTTTGAAGCAGAATTCAACGCATTTCAACACTATACTGAAGATGTTGGGTTGCTGTGCCTTTGATTGGCACATTACGTGGGGCAAACGTAGTTTCATGACCGCCAGGCTGGGGAATCCCCGTCCGTTACCTTTGCGTGATTCTCTTGCCTTTGATGACAAATATTTTGGATTATTTGTCTGCGGCCCCGTTCCTGTACTCCGAACCACGTGCAATGGCAACCTATGCAGCAGGACAAGCGTCGGAACTCTTGAAGCCAACCAAGCCTCTAAGAGCAGACTCGCATGCGTGGTTTCATGAGCTGTCGCATCATTGATCCTGTAGCTTGTAACATCTTGCAACCAAGAAGAGAAGCAACTACTGTATCACCCCGCATCGGGGATTTTATATAGATTTAAGAGCTGATTGCTTGGTCTCCCGCAGGATTACTTTCGATTGCGCTTTCTTCCTTAGTTTGCGCGACCTTCCTGGTGTGGCTCACCAAGCGTTGCCTTGATGTCACGGGGTGGCGACAGTGGCTTGGCCAAATTGCAATCTCATGATGCAGCGGGCAACCTGAAAAACAGACTTTTGGTGCTCCAGGTCCGACAGGGTTGCCGGCGACTTCCCCTTCTTTGGAAGCCTCCCCCGAGCTGCGCCGAAACCAGCTGGATGCTTTTTAATCCGTTTAGATCTAATTCAATCCAATCACCTTCCGCAGCTGAATCTGCACTCCACTGTTCCCATGCCAATAAAGAATCAGCCCTCAGGAATCTTAGAGCCGACAGACCGTGCATACAACAGTTTTGGACGAATGTTCGACATTGGATCCTGTCAGAGACTCTCTTCCCTGCGATAGCCATGCCACCAGTAGAAAGTGTTTCATGAGCCTCCTGCCAGAGACATGCTCTCCCTGGAGCTAACATGGAAGTGGACAATGGCCCCTTGGAGGATCATTTTACTCCACAAAAAGTTTTTTTTCCACTTAACTTTCATGTTAGCTCATGTTAGCTCCAGGGAGAGCATGTGATATAACATGCGCGGCTTTAAGAGCGAAAGGTTGCACATGGATGCGCGAAGGTATCTCCTGATCTTTGTCTTTAGCATTTTGCAAATCATTCCCTTTGCAGTTGTCTATACGCTGGTGGAGCTTTTGCCACATGGCGACCAGCAAGAGCTGTGGCCACTTCTATGCCTGGTCGCAGTGGCAGTGGGAGAGCTCATCGTATTGGCTTTGTTCCATTGCCCTTGCCGGCGCGAGGAAAGTGAAGAACTACTGCGAACAAACAAGCGGGCATTGTACAACTACAGGGTTAGGCTTCTTGCTGGGCCAGATGGCCAATGGGTGTTTTTTTTCATTTTTTCTACACTCTAATTACCTTCGACTAAGCGGCCACAAGAAGTGACCTAAGCAAGCCCCTGAATGATAGAGGAATTGTTCGAACTGCTGTCGGCGATGGCTCGCGGCTGAGGTTCACAAAGCATCTCACCATGTCTGTGTCGCCCAAATCGTCTCCTCACCGACAGAGGAGTGAGCCTCAAGCGGATGGTGATCGGTCTCAGCGCATGGTGCACATCAACAGCATCGCCAGCATTTTTGCTAGCTCCAATTCCAAGGCCTCGTCCCGTATAGTGGAGACTCGCATGTGAGTGCTCCTGGTACTCGTACAGTTGAACGCTGGGCTTGGTTACTTGCACACAGCAGGAATAAAGTTCACCCGACTTTGATTGAACCAGCTGGTGCAGAGCCCTGTTCCATAGTGGAACTTGGGGGTTTCACCAGCTGATTGAGGAGCGCGTTCTTTTAAGCCTCTATGAAAGATGACAAGAGTCTGCAGAGACCTAAATGTGAATGCCCATCACGAAAAGGAGCCACTGAATCAAAGATGAAATGCTCAGAAGATTGGTGCTTCATTCTTCGTCCCTGGTCCCTGCAGAAGATGAATGAACATCGGGATATGGACTTCCCAGCGGTTGGCTTCAACTAAAGGTCTCGATGTCAGCACGCTCTGCCCACTTCTCTGGCTACAGCTGCCAGAGTGTAGCTGAAGCCAGAGATGTTTGGATCCTGAAGGGACATGCTCAACACCAGGGTGTGCCGCCAGACGTCCGGGCGACCAATTCGTGCATTTTCTGGCATGTGGCCGAAAGCGATGTGGACAGATTGACACTGATCATAATTGATCATGAGTCGACATCAAGTGACGTCAACATACATCATCATACATCAACTAGTTCAGATCTCAACACCAGTTTGATTTGATCATGTTTAATTTGACCATTCGCATGCTAAGCCTGCCGCAGTTGTCATTCTTCCCGGGCCTCGCGGATGGTTGAATACCCGCTGCGGCCTGGTGTCGCCCGCATCGCGGTCAGCTCCCAGTGCCACAGTGCATGCCTACTCTTTGCACAACTCAGAGCAGGCGAGATTGAAACAGACATGTCGTGAGCGATAGTAGGAAGTAGGAACTTGTTATATATCCTGTTGATGGGAAGGCTATGGACATGCGGGTGCCCACATGCCCACACCTATGAGTTATGAGCCATAGTTTGACGCGTTGTTCTCCTGTTTGGGCCGCCGAATATCCCAACTTCAGCTGGAGTTGTTGGGCCAACCCCTGCAGTGGAGCGGTTCTTTGAGCAAAGATGCACCTTCCTGCCTGACGCACATGACAGTCAGTCTACGCACCACACAAAAGTGCAGTGCGGTAGAGCGAGTTCCGGCCTAAGAGCATCTGGTTTGTGACACGACGCATTTGAAGAAATAGATGGGTTCTTTTCAGAGAGCTGCCATGTGCTGCCATTTGAGACATTGAACAGGATTAATATGGCCAATTCCATCCGCATTCGTTTTCACCAAAGTATGAGGCTCAAGCCCTCAAGTCTAGCTTTGCCTATCCCGCAATCGTTTCCATCGGCATGCGACAAGGAGGCCACGGGCTGTAAGCATCCTTTCTTTGGTCACATTATGGCACAAGCAAGTCATCATTATGATTATGATTCTGATGTTCATGTTCAACATTTGGATGGGTAGGGGGAGCAGGGAAACTGGAAGGGAGGAAAGGAGCAATACCGGTGCAAAGACCCAACCCCATGTTTAAATTTGCACCGGCATAGACCCCAGATAGTGGGTGTACAGGTTCAAAGGACACGCCACGGACGGCTGTCACCGCAGCACGCAACATCAGACTGGTGACCAGTCCACCAATCTGCGCAACATCTATCAGCTGAATGCGCCCGCTTTGCCCAACACAGACCTAATACTGCAAGATCGGCAAAGACCAGCCAAAACTGCACACACGACATGATGATCATTGCTGCACACAACATGGCGTCACGCACGATATGACAGCATGTCATCCTTGGCATGACATGATGTCATTCCTGGCGTGACGTGTTGGCACTCTGGGCATGACATGATTATGTCACCCTTGGCATGTCATAACATGATGTCACTCTCGGCATGACGTGATGTCAACCCTGGCGCGACATGCTGTCATTCTGGGCACGACATGGTGACACCCTTCGCATGACATGCTGTCATTCTGGGCATGACATGGTGTGACCTCTGGCAAGATATGATGTCACCCCTGGCGCGGCATGATGATGTCATCCCTGGCATGACGTGATTTCATTCCTGGCGTGACGCAAAGCGAAACGCCGATCCAGCGCCTGCACCAGCACGGCACGAGCACCAGCAAAACAAAGCGCCGATCCAGCACCAGCAGCAGCACGGGCAAAGCCAAAACCCAGAGCCAGCACCAGCACCAACACGGCAGCAGCGCCAGCAAAACCAAAACGCCGATCCAGAGCCAGTACCTGCACCTGCACCAGCAGCAGCACGTGCAAAGCCAAAGCGCTGATCCAAAGCCAGCACCTGCGCCTGCACCAGCATCACTTGCACATACTTGCACCATCTTGCACCAGCATCAGCACGGCGGTTCCTGCAAAACGAAAACGCCGATCCAGAGCCAGCACCTGCACTTGCACCAGCATCAACACGGCAGCAGCACCCGCAAAACCCAAAACGCCGATCCAGAGCCACGCCATTGAGAAGTTGGAGCCCCTATACTTAGCCTGCAGCCATATGGGGAACTAGAACTAGCCAGGCTGCTATGCATATGTGAGTGCGCATCTGTGTGGGAAGAATGCTGGCTTTTTGGGCATTCCTGACCCCCCCAGCGCTGCAGGTGTTCTAAGACTGACCCATGGCGGCTCTGGCTTGGCACCTGTGCGCGTCTCAGATTTGAAGCGACCACACTGTGGGCACAACTGGTATACCTTGCAATCTCGCTTGTGGTGACAAAGATATGCTTGGAACTTGGAACTGCTAGAAGTACCCACAGCATCCCACGACCGCAAGAGCAGGAAACACCTCGGCGTTCGGTGCACTAGTCGCCCCTCTCCACCACGGTGAGTCTCACATCTGAGTCGCTCGTGCAGGTCCTCCACACTCTCACCGACCCAGCCATTCAGCCTCGCTGGGCCCACGGATTTCTGGAGAAATCATGCCCATCGATCACCATCTCTGACTGTGACAGGTCGGTGGAGTTGGTCTTCGAGATCAACCTGGCTTAGGCGAAGTTTCCGACGACAGTCCACTTCCATACATGGCCACACGGTACATGAGTCACTGTAGGAGCATCGTGAAAAATTACATGATATTTGATTCGATGCTATATCAACATATTTCAACTGGGATTCGCCATTGGCTTTGGTTTATATAGCCCTTTTTGGAAGCTCACATGGGCCACCAAAATAAGTAGGTTGGAGGCCATCGCTACTAGGTTGGAGGCCATCGCTACTAGGTTACTAGGGTGGATGGAGGACATCGTTACTAGTAGCAAGAAGCTACTAGTAACTAGTAGCAATATTACGCTGTGCGGCTTGATGTTTTTGATTCCTGATTCCATCACTGGGTGAGGCTCGAGACATCTTCATGCTCCAGCCGGCGCACCAGCAGTCGCAGAAACATTTTGTTCTATTCATTACTGCAGGTGTATATTCTAACTGCACCTCCGCAAATAGGTAAAATTTCTATATTCTTACTGGATTATAAGTATTTTTTGAATTGACACTGCTAGTCTATGAGTGTATACATATAGATTATATAAATATATATATATATTTCATGATTTACTTTGATTGTCCTTGAGCTTTTCCAAATAGTGCTTAGCGTTGCACCGCTGATGATGTTTTGTTTCAATGGGAGCCTTGAGGTGTGACGGGGGCCTTTTGTGTCGCAGCCGGCCTGCGGGGACGCCTGGCAATCCGGGTGCCGCTGGAGCTGAAAAGGCATTTTGTTGTGTTGGTTTGAACACTTCGGTGTGATACTGAGCACTGAAGTCACATGAAGCGATATGAAGCGACTAAATGAGCATTGCAAAATATATCATGTTGAATGCAGGTGGCATAATCGCGCCAAGCATCGATTTTCCCTCGCCTGGTGTTCACTGCGCTTGAGATCAGCCCAGGTCTGGCAGGCGCCGGTCTCGGTCAGCTTCCCGGACTCACAACGTCTAGGGTTGGATGGCTGATGCGTTGGGGCTTCAACGTGCCTCAGTCCCAGGCAATTCCTCAGGCAGAGCAGAATTTTACCTCAGCCCTCAATTGCAAGCCTGGAACTTGGAGAGTTTAGATTGTCAGATGTCCTCTAACTTGGTTCGCCTCACCGTATCTCACTGTACCCCTTCACTTCATGTCACTTCATTTATTGTGTTTTGCCTAGTGTTTTTTGGCTTCGCTACCAGTTAGCTTTGATGTTATCCAATTCAATCTTGTATTGTGCTGCTCTTGGTTCTGAACAGTCGCTAGCTGCGCTTCATTGCTGCCTGGATGCCAAGGATATAATAGCACTGGCCCGGAGGCCCCACTGCTGAAAGTCATAACTTGTAACTTTGTAATTAATTTCTCGCACATGTTGTTGCTTTCACTGTCACACTCCCCTTTGGAAAGACAAAGTCATATAGCTATAAACTGCTATAGACTATAGAGTATAATATAGAGGATGCTAAAGGGCAAGAGGCGATGGAGGGTCCACAGTGCTTGAAAAACGCTTGCCAGCTTGACACTCCGACTCCTGGTAGTTGATTTTATCGCTTTCCTTTGGGTCGGCAGCTGTTGGAATAGATTCATGGGAGGAAGGAGCTCTTCATATTCCTTCACGCAGTTGTAAGTGCCGGAAGCTTTTGTGGCACGATATGATACGGTATGCGTCAGCTGAGTGACAAACGCACTCTTATGTTCTGGAGATATCCATGACTCAACAGAGCTTAACACAGTGAACGAACACAGACAAACACCATATCTGGGAGATTCTGGGAGTGTACTCACAGTAGTCGTTTATCGTCAAACATCAGATTTTGCAGGTGCAATGATCAGGACAGTCAGCCAGTAATCAGTCAGATCAATGAACCCACATAGCTGTACCATGAGAACCAGTTGCGGATGGCGAACGATGTGCTTCACCATGGCTGTTCTTGCCGCGCAGGCAGAGGGTCGGCAGCGTGTGAAAATTCATTTAAACTTGGCAATTGAGTGGACGGTCAGATCAACCGATTTCAATTAACTTCGCACTACATACATATAGTACCCTTTAGAGCCTGGCTACTACATATCTGAATCCTGCATCACACATATGTGCGCCAATTTTGGAAGATAGGATTAGTTTTTCTTACTTGGTGCTGCGAGTAATCATGGTTTGCCGCTTGTTGGATGCCCCTTTGCCAATCATAATTGATAACAACACGCCCCACACAGCCGTGTGTGTGTGTGCCCCGGATTGTACTGTTCGTGTTTTCTTTTTGTAGAGCAGGGGGCCCATGAACACTTGGATGGCATGGGCCAACGAAGACCCATCCAAGCTGTCGTGAACACGTACCTGCTTGGTGCACCTGGGCGCATTGTAAGACGCAGCTGGTGGCCACCTTTCTTCCTTTTCTTTTTGTAAAGTGCTAATGCATCGGCAGTCACGCACGGAACGTCGTCATCCCGTCGGCTCGTCGTTTCGTGGCCTTTAACTAAAGGCGCGCAGCCCCCCTTTACCTGGTTTTTCAGGACTTGGCTTCTTAGGCCGGCGTGTGGCACCGCTGTCAAGCCAGTACGCATAATCATAAGTGTGTCTCTCCTAGTGAGAGCCCAGGGTGAGCCCGCAGAGTGCCCCCTGTGGACCCGTTGAACGGGGGTTTGTCTTCGTCCCTGCGCCCGGGACCAGAGTAGTCCGCAGCGGACAACGCAGGCTTAGGCCAAAGTTATTTGCCAAAGATCTGTCGGGTTATTGCATTCCAAGCTGGCTCATGCCTTTGCGTGACCGTAGCGGTCAAAGCTGCCAGCCATTTTGGCACGGCGTACGTGGCTGCAGCGGCCGAAGCTTGTCTAAGACTCGTTGGAGTCTGTCGCGACCTTAGCCCCTTCCTCCTCCCCTCCCCTCCTTTCTCCCCCTTTTTGTTCCTGAATGTAATACTCAGGTTCACCCCTCTCTCACTGGTGTGTCCCTGGACGCTTGTGCGTAGCTGGGAACACCTGTCCTCTTCCTTCTCTTTTCCCTCTCTCTCTTTTCTCCTTCCTTTCCTTTCCCTCCTTCTTGTTTGGGTGTCCCTGGATGCTTTCGTCATAGCTGGGAACCCTTCTCCTCTCTTCTTTGGATGTGTCCTTGGACGCTTGTGTCGTAGCTGGGAACACCTTCTTCCCCTTTCCTTTCTTCTCTTTCTTTTTCTCTTCTCTCCCTACCCTTCCCTCCTGTCGGGACCTTAGAGTGGGACGCTACTAGGGACTCCTGGCCTTACTACGAGGTGCAAGGACGCTCTGGGGCAGAGATGCCTCCTGTTGGGGAGGCGTGTGACCCAGCCAAGCTGTCGCGAAAACGTACCTGCTTGGTGCACCTGAGCGCATTATAAGACGCAGCTGGTGGCCACTTTCCTTCCTTTTCTCTTGTAAAGCGTTAATGCATCGGCAGTCATGCACGGAACGTCGTCACCTTGTCGCGTTTCCGCAGTTCAAGCTCGCGCTTTGAAGGTTCCTTGGGAGGTTTTTCAGTTACTACCTAACCTGAAACCTTAGGCGTTCAAACCTAGGTGGTCGCGTGGCATGTGGCATTCGAGCCAGTACGCATTTCTATAAGTGTGTCACAGTGTCACCCTATTGGACTCAGCTTAGAGCAAAATTTTCCTCCCTTTGGGGAGGCGTGTGTGTGTGTGTGTGTGTGTGTGCCCCTTGTAGTCACAGAAATCCACTCGGATTGTACTGTTCGTGTTTTCTTTTTGTAGAGCAGGGGACCCATGGACACTTGGATGGCATGGGCAACGAAGACCCATCCAAGCTGTCGTGAACACGTACCTGCTTGGTGCACCTGGGCGCATTGTAAGACGCAGCTGGTGGCCACCTTTCTTCCTTTTCTTTTTGTAAAGTGCTAATGCATCGGCAGTCATGCACGGAACGTCGTCATCCTGTCGGCTCGTCGTTTCGTGGCCTTTAACTAAAGGCGCGCAGCCCCCCTTTACCTGGTTTTTTCAGGATTTGGTTTCTTAGGCCGGCGTGTGGCACCACTGTCAAGTCAGTACGCATAATCATAAGTGTGTTATTGTGTGTTTGGGAGATGTTTTCTTAACAAACTCAGCTTGTTTGTTCGAGAGAGGTCATTTAGATGGCAGAGCAAGGGCGGCGAACCGTTAGTCTTCATGAGTTTCAAGGGGGGAAATCAAAAGTTTCTTCACGAGCGACCATGTCGGTACAACACTGATACACGCGGTCCCAAAATCGCTCGTTCACAGAAGCTTTGCTCCTGTTCTCCATTTTGGGCGGCAAGAAACGTTTCAACATGTTTCAACCAGAGCCAGTTTCGATCTATGTGCTGGGTTCAAGCCGTTTTCGATGTGCGCATGTGGCATGGTCTTCGAAAGCGTGTGTGCATGTAGTATTAGTAATCTAGTAGAATCTTCCATCCCCCAAGTCATTGATTGCATTGGCTGCTCGTCTAAGTGGAAATCAAGCTCCTCAGTGCTGATGTCCGGATCTTCAATGCTTTCAGCCTTGGGAACAAAAACAAGGCCCAACTTGGCCAGCAATCTGCAGAAACTGTGACATTCTTCCAGCGGCGCAGTGACGAACTGTTTTTGTCATGCGCATGCTGGCCGCTGTTGCCGACGAGTGCATCCCTTTCTGGCAAACCTGACAGCAGCAGAGCTATCGGCTTCTGGCTTTTGGCACTTCTTGCAAGAGTCCGTGGTACAATGGAAGACCTCAAAGCCAGCCACAACCAGCCTGTTGGTTACCGTATTAAAATAGTTTCCTTTATTTGAGCATGAAAATAGGTTGAACACGTTGTGCGGTGCTGTTTTCTTCCATATGTTTGCTATTTTTTGCTCGCCAGTGCACATGGCTTGCACCAGGAGTTCTCTGCCTTAGATTTTGTTGGCATTTCAGGATGCAGGCGCCTGTCAGGGGGGAAGTGGAATGTGCCGCATCCTTGCCCTTCACATCCCTTCACGTACTCCCCAATAGATTCATGCAAAAGATAGCCCAAGTATGACCTGTGTGTGTCCGTTGTCCTCTACCAGATCAGCACTTTAAAGGTTCTCACGGTTCTCTGTTGACTTCCCTGGGGTGTGATCTGATTTTGTATCCCGCCACCGGAATCGGATGAGCAGTCACGAGCATATTTTGTTTCTTCAGCTTCTCATATGTATAACATGTGTATGTATATTTAATATATACATATGTATGTATTATACATTGTTACATCCATATATATATAACATTTGCCACTCATTTGCGTGTTGCTGCGCAACACTGTTTCTACTTTCCGTCCATCACTTTCCCATGAGTCGAGGTTTGTATGTTGCTTGACATGTGGTTCAGGTCCGGCAGGCGGATCTCAGGGCTAGGTGCAACGCCAGGCCGGCTGAAGGGATCACGGGTTCTAGAACAGAATGACGCAGCCAGGCCATGGGATGGAATGTGGACTGAAGAGCCCCCACAAGCAAGAGACAACATCATCATGGATGGCCATTTTGAAGGTTTATACTGCTGCTTCCACTGTAGCAGTTGAGGATCAATACCCGACGGCACGGCAAGGCATCAGATCCCGTCTTGACTGAGGTGAAAAAGCAGCAGCACTTGCCAAGAAGGCCAAAGACTTGCCTCCGCCCAGTCGTGGTGTTACCATGGAGGATGTGCCTCAGCATGCCTGTGAGCCACTGGAGGTTTATAATCTAAATGTTGGACTTCACCTCGGTAGTGAATGTTTCATCGTCTAAGACTAGTTGAAGCCCTTTAGGGGAAAGTTGGCACGAAGCATGCAGCATGGAGATGTTCAATTGCTTTTCAATTGTGTGGGTATATTATTGGAATGGGATGCATCGTTGGTGATCCAAAGGGCACCCGCCAGACTCGGTGGCTGACAGTTGTGCTCGTGGACCCTTCGGGCAAACACTTATGGATCTGTGAAAAGCTTCTAGGAACAAGAAGCTACTAGGGGCTCCTGGCATCGCTACTAGGAGCAAGGACGCTACTAGGGGCTCCTGGCCGTACTACTAGGAACAAGAAGCTACTAGGAACAAGAAGCCACAATCTCGGATTGACCACGATTGCCTGTCTTGACACGATGGATGGGGCATTGCCTGTTTCCCCCGGGCATTGCAGATGTTCCTCAGTTCTCCCCCGGGCATTGCAGATGTTCCTCAGTTGTTCCACCTGGGAGTCCTTCATCCGCATATCAACCCTTTGTCCTACAGATTGCTATGCTGCTATCTCTCAACATCCACTTTGGGCTGCTCTTTGTGCACAAGAAGCACTTCGTCGCCACCCCCTTGTGTCTGGCACCTTTTCTTGAACTTGATATCAGCTTTCCGACCTACAACCTCCAAGCTCCTGCTCCCAGACCCTTCCTTTAGATTCTAAAATATAGCTATTTGTCCAAGGGTGTGCACTTTTGTCCCGCACCTAGGGCACAGCCTATGAATGCCTACCCCACAAATGGCCAAAGTCTTGTAAGAGTCATAGGTTGCTGGCCATGTGCAGGTCACTTGGTCACTGTGTCATGTGCTCTATGTGTGAGGAGATTTGGTCCGGATCATAATCATTCTGTCGAGATGTGGGTCTTTGATCCTCAATGACCGTGGGCATGAAATAACAAATGGTCAGCTGATGGCCCACTGAGGTGGATTTGTCATACTCTCGCAGCAGTGGACCAGGAGGGCAAAATGTCAACAAGGCAGGTACCACAGGGCAATTTCATCATCTACCATCCTAAATCATGAGGGCTGTGCTTCAATAAGATCGGACATACCTTACGACCAGGAGCTTGTAAAGAACAGGAAACCTTTGTCGCAACAGTCTGTTTTCTGGAAATATGCTGAAAATCAATTCACGCAGCATGTTAGGACTTGGTTACTTCCAACCAGTCGGATTGGCAGTTACATCACATGTGGCCTAAAGATTTGCAGCTATCACACTAATTGCATCAATCTCTTCAGGTGGAAACCAGGGTACAAGCCAGCGAGCAACTCAGACACCACATGCATGGGAGATGCTGCTGCAAAGTTGTCCCTCCTGCCCCTCTTTCAAGAGAGAGAGAGAGAGAGAGAGGAGAATATGTCTCGTCAGCGTGCCGGGGCATGTAGTTGTGTTGCCTTTTGAAAGCCTAGGACCTAGTGCAATCTGCCGTCCACTAGGTATATCCAGGCCCCGTAGCACCATGTAGCACCTAGTTGTAGCAAGACATGTCATCAATGGTCGCGACATGTCGTGACTGCGTCGAGTGACAGCCACCTGAGGCTTTGATGTAGATGCGGCAAGGTTTCTGCCCAAATGGGTGAAGGAGAACCTGCGAAAGCAACAGGATCGCTTGCTGTTGTATCAGGAGCTTTTGCTTTTGCGTGTTTTCTGCGGAGTGAATTTATAAAGAGTTGTCGCAAGTTCAGAGCAAATAGGAGGAGGGATACTACGCAGATGGACCTTGAATTGAACTACTGTAAGAAGGAATCGGATTGACGAGCGTGTACCCACGTGCCGACTGTTGACGCGTCACCTTGGGCGAGGCGAATCGCTTCAGCAAGGATGGGATCCTGAGATTGAGTTCGGAGGACTGGTGGCACCAGCGGTATCAACTAATGAATCGCATGAGCTTGCAGGCAGGTGTACTATTGTATCAATCAATGATTGACATAAGCTTGAAAGCTTTTAAGGATTGAACGTGACAAGTGTACGGTATAGTGTATAGGCCATATAGTATAGGACCTAGATGGTTGCTACATTTTTGCTGGATTCATGTGGTGCAACATGCTAGGAGCAGAGAACCAGGCAGGACAACCTGAGAATCGCATCTCGGCTAGCGGCTAGATGAGTCATGATGCTAGATTCTGCTAGATGGCTTGCAAGTCAGCAGTGGCATTGATGGTCTAAGGTCATGCAAAAACTACAGGCGTTGATTGACCAGGCCGTCCGAGACCGTTTGGGTTCTCAAATCAGACAATTGAAATTGAAGGCTATCGGGCTCGCATGTTTGCTTTTGTGGTACTGTCAATGGACAACCTATAGGACATAATATATATATATGTATTACATTATTATTGTTTTATGGGTTATATATATAACCCCACGAAATTTTAGAACAAGGTCTTCAGCACCTCAGAATACCTCAGGTGTGCTTGCTGAGTTCACCTTCTGGGCAAGGTTCTTGTGCATTCTTCGGCGAATAGCAATCCTGGGTTACGTTGTTAGTTTGGTTGTCACCAGGGTTTACCGGTGCATTGACCCACAAATCTAGGACCACTATGGAACCGATCGGTCTTCTGGAAAGGCTGCCTTAAAGCCAAAGATGCCAGACCAGCGCAAAGTGGACAAGATGCGTCGTGTCAAGCCTTCCACCCAGCACTGTCACTATGCCATCCTCCATCACATCGCATCACATCGGTAAATCACGTTGTGGTATGAGGAATACTGTCCGGATTGTGCTGTTCCCACATTCTTGGGCCTAAATAGGGCCGGTTCGTTGGAATAGATGGTTTAATTTCGGGAACGCTGTTTTGTGCGACCTGTGTAAGTGGAGATGGGGACAATTGGATACTGTCACTCCCGAGGTTTGGCAGCTCACATAGGTATGCAGCAGGTATGCAATGGCTATGATATACACCTTCGCGTGAAGGTTAAGCAACCGTCCCAATTAACAGGTGAATGCCCAGAGCCATGGTCCTCCGCCCAAGCTTGGTCCAAGGAAGGCTGCCAATGAAAAGCGGCTTCGAGACAAGAAACTCAAGAGCCTGCGTCTCCAGAAAAGGACGGGCTTGTTGTAGCTTTCACTGCTGAGTTGTGGCCTATGCCACCTTCATCCACCTTCTACGTCTATCTTAAAATATAAATAAAAAATATATGAAGTTACGAAGTTGGTAGATGGTGGGTGGTGGGTAAGTGTATTCACAGTAAGCGCAAAGAATATCATAAATACAGGTGACGACAATGTTTGTGAAACATCTCAGTTTCGCAGGAGAGAAGCCCGGTCCGAGTACTGAGTCCACGCTCCCGTGCGATTTTCCGACCGCGCATGTGCTTTGTGGGAACCAGCATCCTGCTTTTGCAGTTCAGTTGAAGTTTACATTCACTACGCGGTTAAGACTGCATATAGAGAGAGAGGGGGAGAGCCTGAAACACTGTGAACATGTTGTTCTGGATGGAGCACCACAAGGCGAGGTCCTTCAATGTCCTTCACCTTTCAGGTCCGCAGCGTGTCTGTCTCACCTGAAAGTTGTTTTCCGTGCCACTTCCAGCAGATCGCTGGGCCGCGCATCGGGAAGAAGGGAAAGGATGCATGCGGCATGCAATGGCAGTTTTGCAAATCAACAGCTCCAGCAAGTATTGGTAAGTACGATAAGTACGGTAGTCCGTGACAGTCATCCAATTTACAGGAAGCCGACACTCTCTCAACCACAAGTCTTGAGGGTGTTCTCTTTGCAACAGTTTTGCGGGCATGTTTCATTTGCCCTGTGCAGGCTCCCAGCAGACCACTGGGAACAGCACTTTGGCGGCAATGTTTCTTTCAGTGGGCTTAGGGGTGTGCTTCTAGGGAGGATCAGGACAGGGGTCGGATGAATCATTTCGTGAAAACTTTTGAGGTATTCTCCACACACCTCCATGAGCTGGCACGAGAGGCAGGGGATTCCGCCATCCACCGAATCGGGGGATGCGACATCGCTTAATTTCCAGTCCCTCCTGGAGCGCTTTCGATGTGATGTGAGTGAAAGTGGAGCCGAGGCCTCATGGTTGTATGAAACTACAAGCTTCCTTTGTCGATTTTGTTGTTGGATGGAAATGATGATGTAGATTTGCTTTGTGTTGACCCAAGGTCCTCCTATTCGCAGGAGGCCAAGAGCCGATGCGGCACGATACAGATCACGAGGCCCTGCAATTGCACGATCTTTTTGGCATCAAGATTGGTCGAATTATTCAAACAATTTTTGGCACACTTTAATTCACAACATCCTGTTAAATGCACCCATGCCGCATGCCTGCTAATTAATGTTGCGGTCCCATGTTCCAATAAGCGATTGCCCATCGTCTCCAGGACATTTTTCGGCAAGAAAGCACATTCCACTACCTCTTTGGAGCCTTTAGCTCAGAATTTCCCAAACCATGTTTGCTTTGCAAGATTCTCCGCCAGGAAGATATCTGATGTCTAATAATGTCCAATAATCTAAGGGCCACTGGGCCCAGTGCCGCTGACCCCGCTTTAGCAAAAATAGGTGGCCTTCAATAGAAGCATGTACATGCATGTACCATATATACATGCTGTATATCTGAATTGTGAGTTGAACCACTGTCACCACTGTTTTAAGTTTTGACATGGGTCAAATCTAGAAGTAAAGCTTAGAAGTGCCACTTTTGTTTGAAGCCACTCCCTGGGGGGCGGAGCCTCGTCTGTACACGCGGAATTTCCCTCGAATGTACACGCGGAGAATTGATCTCGTTTGTGCACGCGAAACTCGGATGTGCACGCGGCTTCCTCGGCTGTACACGCGGCTTACATGGCTGAATAATGTCCAGAGGGACGTTATTAACACCCCCCCCCCCCCCCCCCCCACCCACCCCCCCATCCCAACCCAACATCATCAATCAAACGCAGAGCGTCTGTGTGACGTGAACCTGTGGAAGCAATGAGCAAAAAGAGATCATCATGTAGATGAATGTCCAGAGGGACGTTATTAACACATCATCAATCAAACGAAGCAATGAGCAAAAAGAGATCATCATGACTCAATTTGTGTGTGCGCAAATGAGGCGAATCATGTGTGCGCATTTGAGTTTGGGGTAACATGGGCTGTTTAAAGAGGAATGTAATCGATGTGTGCGCAGATGAGGCGAATCATGTGTGCGCATTTGAGTTAAATATATAAAAAAGTCTGTGTGCGGATTTGAGGGGAATTATGTGTGCGCAAATGAGGCGCCATCCCTCCCGGGGCACCCTACCCATGGCCCGTTTGGGATCCGCCATGATCCGCCAACGTATTGGCGTTGGGGCTTGGTGCTGAACAAAGGAGAGCTCCCACAGCAGTGTGCTTGACTGTCCGGAATCAGATCAATCTGCGTTTGCTCACGGAGTTTTGCGGCTGTATTTTCGGCACACTTTGGCACGGACAAATACGGCATGTGTGCAATCTCGGCCTGTCCCACAAAACCCCATGTGAGGCCCTTGTGCGAAATGTGAGCGGCAAAACGCGATAAGTCCTAGGCGTCCATGTTGGTTTGAATTGTTTTGACACGCACACACAAACACTTTAGGAGAAAGCTCGCAAGAGCACAACCCGGTGTTGTTCCCGAGACTCATTAGGTCTTTGCTGCATTAGCACTTCACAGCGAAACAACGCACGAGACAGCTTGAGCTTCGCTTAGAGCTCTAGGTGTTACAACGAGTTAGAACGAAACAACTTCAGGTGCTCGTACATGAACCACAATTTAAAAACAAAAGACACCTAGGAAACCACAGCAACCAATCAACAGTTGAACCAGAGCAGATACATTTTCACTTCCCTGGTGCGCCGTCTTCGTTGGGCAGGACGAGCACCAGGGAGTCCTAGCCCCCTGCTTCCTAATTACATCAGCAGGGTGCTACAGGGCCCTTAGAAACAGGGTATCACACACACACATATCTTTTTTGGGGATGCTGCTGTTTTCTTGGATTGAATGTGACTGATCTAGGATCTGCGTCGGTTTTGGAGGGTTTGACTACAGGTGAGAGAGCCTGGCTATCTCGGTGAGCCCGGCTGATTTGTCGAAAATCAGAGATGGGCTGCCCCAAACCACATCCCATGCAACGAGAATATGTTCTTTGCTACATTGCCTTTTGCCTACCCTTTGCTATATTGGAGTTTGGTATCCCGATGGCTTTGCTACATATCCTTAATCACAACTGTCGCCGTGTTTGGCTTTGTCCGGCTACATTGCGGCTACATGCAGCTCAAGACCCAGTTCTGAATATATATATGTGGATCATGCTGGAACCGCTGGCAAAACTTGGGGCATAATATATCAAACAGGTTGGCACCATGCCCACAATGGAAACTTGTCATGTGCCTTCACAGTTAGAGTTTCAACTTGGGCGAGACTCAGAGTGCCCTTCCGTGGAAAAGGGGGCAGCCAGGTGCTTTAGATGTTGAGCTTTGCACTCAGTCGGGTCCGAGGTGATTTGCACAGCCCCCACTTTCAGTGAACAAGTGATCAGGTCGGGGAAGGCTACGCTGTTTGCACCGCGGCTCCCACCAGAGTGACCTGAAGGGCCACTTGTTTGTCAACCTCATTGTGTGAAGTAGAGCGCCGATAAATGGAGGTTTACCTATCCCATCCACGCAACCCATTTTTCACCACTTTCAGATTGGATAGGTACGAGCTGTGGATGGGCCAAACTCTCAGACCCAGATGGTATGATGCATCCTTCACTAAGACTCGGTCTCACTTGTTACTGTAAATTAAAAACTTGCATTTTTGTGCGATGGTGAGATCCTCACATTACAATGTTACAATGACAATAATAACAATAATGAAACTAGTATATATATATATATATTGCAATAGTAATATATACATGTATATCATATGACATGTTAAGGGTGTATAAGGCAAGTGCATCCTACGTTGCTGGTAGGAGTTATCTACATGGAGTCATGAGTCATGGGTCATGAGCGAATGTGCATCCCATCGGCTGGGAGGAAAGATCCTGGATGCAGATGCGATTCTTCAGAACTATGGTGTTGATGAGGTGGTCAGGACCTAAGAGTCGGTCTGATGCATGACCGGCAGCGACTCACAACATTCGAATCAGCCGCAGGCATGTTGGAGTTGACGACAAACACTAATTACTAATTGTCGTACTTGGATTGCAACATTTTCGTTCGCATTCGTCCGCGCTCAGTCACGTGGTGGCACCACTGAACGCACCCAGGTCTATGTTGATGAGGTTGCCTCCTGGTTCGAAAGCCTTGGCCCTGGACCGCAGAGACCAAACAAGTTATGCCAGAAAGCACGGAATGCCTACAGTAGTTACATCAGAGTGTATAGCTGTCTTCGATTAGGGGTTGCAGGTGACAGTTCTATTCTATTCAGTTTCGTCAGTTGACTTCAACAAGGGCATCCAAGGAAACTTTCAACATCTTTCAACCATTGGCTTGGAGACTGTGCGCAGGCCCGCATCTCATCTGTTCCCGAGGCCAGTCACCCGCCATGATCTACGTGCAACGTGGCCGGAATTCCGACAGCGGTGCGGAGGTGCCAAGCAGAGTGGACATCGACACAGTATGTTGCACCTGTTAGTAGTAGGGTCCTTGCTACTAGTAGCGATGCCCTTTGCTCCTAGTAGCGTTCTTGTTCCTAATAGCAAGGCCAGGAGCCCCTAGTAGCGCCCTTGCTACTAGAGTCCGAAAATATGATCTCGACCGATCCAAAGGGCCATGGGCCATATATATAATTATGTTGTGAAATCAATCTGACTTGCTGTTTGACGCCTGGTCAGTTGGAACATTTTTGCTATCGTGGTAGGTTGCGTTGCCCTAGCCAGGTGGTACCAGCAAGCTTCGAGGGCATGGAAAAGTACGAGGTGAATGACGCGGCATTGCACGCAGCATGCCCCTCAGCTTCCAATTTGTTGATACAGTTTCCAGCACCGCGATGATGATTCATGAGCCTTCGGCATTTTTGTGGCAATCGTACTACTGCTTGTCTCCCAGAAATAGTCAGAGGAACGCTTGATTTTAATGCCAGGTGACCGGTGCTTCCACATGCAATGCATGCATATGCCAACAGAACCAAATGGCTTTTAGCATATACAAAAACACATCAAGCACTACCATGTGGGTGCTGAGCCTTTTGCAAAAGGTGCTCTACGAGACTAGAGCTAGAGCCTCAGTTGTGTCACTCCGCTTGATCACATAGCAATCATGTGACATGTGGCGACATGTGGCAGAAGGATGGAAGCTTTGCCAAGGCTCGGAAGAATCAGGAAGAATTGAGGCGGCCTTGGGAACTGTGCCAGTGTGCATTGTCTTCATGCGGCATGGGAGTGATGTAGTTCCGAACAGTTCGAATCTGAAAGTTTGAGTAGGTTACTTCGATATGTCAACCGGATTTCTTCAGATTCTCACATTGCCAGCA